GTGCGGGAGAAGATGCGAGAATTGGGACGGTTGATTCACAAGGCGAGGAGAGTCACCTCGTTAAAAACGATGGAAGATTGTGTAAATCCAAAGAAGTACATGGAGACTGTCAAAGCTGTGAAGTATACGTGTGGGTATGACAGTGAAACAGACAAGTTCATGATTCCATCGCTTGCAAATAAGCTTGGGAATTCCCTGGTTAAAGTGAGCAAACTCTTAAAAGCTCAGGGATTAATCTCAAATGACAAACAGCTTGTTAAGAATGCCAGTGAGTTTCTAGAAGTCCATCAGAACAAGTGGAACGAGTTGATCTCGGCTACAGCATTGAGGAACATCAGTGAAGCAAAGTGGAATGTGCCCACTATCATGCCCTTTACTGAAGACGTCCAGAAAATGCACACACATCTCAGTGAAGTGCAAGAGAAGTGGTCAAAACACTCTCTGGAAGTCCCTCTACTAAAACCTGGATGGAGCTGGCAAAGGTGTGTGTCTAGCCCAGATGATTCTCTTTAACCGCCGCAGGGAAGGAGAGGTTTCGAGTATGCCTTTGTCTGCATTTCTTTCAAGAGACACTTCTCATCCACATGAGGATGGGACTGGGCACTTTCTGAAGTGGAAAAAAAACTCTGCAGACACTTCACAAGGGTTATCACAAGAGGAAAGCGTGGTCGACCAGTTCCAATTCTTCTGACTCCAAAAATGCTATGTGCCTTAGAACTCCTTTTAAGCAGAGAGAGGTTTGTGGGGTTCTGAAAGACAATCCCTATATGTTTGCAAGACCAGAAGCCATGACACATTTTCGAGGGTCAGACTGCCTCCGTGGCTTTGCTAAGTGTTGTGGCGCAAAGTGTCCCAAGTCACTGACATCTACAAGGCTGCGAAAGCATGCCGCAACGCTTTCAACAGTGCTGAATATGACTGACACCGAGATGGACCAGCTGGCAAACTTCCTTGGACACGACATAAGAATCCATCGTGAGTTCTATCGACTCCCTGAGAAGACCTTGCAACTTGCCAAGATCAGCAAAGTTCTAATGGCACTTGAACAAGGAAGATTAGCTGAGTTCCATGGCAAGAACTTGGATGAAATTGGGATAGATCCTGATGGTGTGGTATTTTATTTGACGTTTGTTTGATTTTTCTGTTTACCATCTATTCAAATACCATGTTTTACGATCTATTATATGCCATTAAGCTTTACTTTGAACTTCCACAGAAAAAGTTCTTAACTCTGATGAGGAAGACGAGAGCATAACAGAGGGACTCTGTTCATCTACTGTTGACGGTTTGTATTACTTTCAAAATACACTACTAGATTTTGCAGTTATTCATAGGTTTCAGTCACTTTACTTGTGAAGACCTGACATGCAAAAACAATGTTCTAACATCAAAGCCAACATTAAAGAAGATTCTTCAGTATGCTGAACAAAAGCTTTTTTCTTTTTTTATTAACGAAACTGCTCATTGTGTAATGAATCAAATGCCTCCAAGCTATTCTTCAAAATGTCTTGCACTAAACATTTATTTTGGAGTGAATATTTTTTGTGGACTTTACTACCATAAAAATTATGTTTCATAAGAGAAACGTGCACATTTTTCGTAAAATGCTAGCTGATCCGTTCTCTTCTCGTGTTTGTTGTGTTATGGCACTAAATGAACCATGTCAGATTATCAAGTAATTAACCATTTTATTTCATGTCTTAGTTTGCTTGAGCTTATGTTTGATTAAATGTCTGCTGGAAAGATGCAGTTCAATTATACTTGCAATAATGAAAAATTACACAGGTTTAAGAGTTTATTGTACTTTAATGATTTAAAATAATCCGTGCATAAGTGTGACTAAACACATTGTGTATTGTCTGTTGGAAAATTTTCCTTCGAACCAACAGACATTGGGATATCTTTCAAGCAGGATTCTTTACTGAGAACTCACTGTCCTGTTTATATACCTTTCAAGGGGGAGGGATTTACATAGAGGTGGAGACACTCTGAAACAAAGCATGTAAATGAAGTACGGAAGTCAGTTCATTACTAGAAATTCCCCATCCCTGATCTCATTAGCATAACAGTGTCATTCAGATACATGGGTGATAATCCATTCAGCCTGACTATTCAACGACTGGAACGGGCTCCTAGAGCCATTTAAAGACGGTCTCAGTAATTTGACTTGTTTAACCTACAATAGAGAAACAGGACTGGCAGGAATCTTTGGCTGGAAACTCTTGAGGAAACTCAATTGTCAGCATTTTATAGTAAATTTTAAAATGTATATCTTTCTGAAAACATTGAACTTTGATTATTTTCCATAGAACCATCTTCAGAGGTGGCACTTCCTCCTACCGAGAGGAGTGACATGCCGCCACCACCCAAGAGACGCAGACTACCAGCAGATGAAGAGATGCCTACAGAAGCCAGTGCTGTGAGGCCTTCTTCCAAAGGTGAAATCTTTACACGTTTCTAAAACTAAATTAGTCAATTTAGGAGCACTTTGATACCCAGATTTCAGACCAGATCACTAAATGCTGATTTAGTTTTTTTTGCCATTTCCTGTTTTCTGCCATTTTGAGACGTTTCCGCCAAATCTTTAGTGATTTGAAAACTTGCAACTTAATTGTTCCTCTACACCAGTCCTTAGGTCTTTACACTGGCTCCCAGTTACATTTAGGATTGATTTTAAAGTATTATCACTGTTATATAAATCATTTAATGGGTTAGGACCTCAATATATTGTAGATATGCTCACTGAATATAAACCCAACAGATCACTTAGATCACTAGGATCACATCAGCTAGAAATACCAAGGGTTCACTCTAAGCATGGAGAGTCTGCTTTTAGCTATTATGCTGAACCAGCGTCCAGAAGAGATCAGGTGTGCTCCTACAGTAGTCACATTCAAATCCAGACTCAAAACACATCCGTTTAGCTGTGCATTTACTGAATGAGCACTGTGCCACTGTTCGTACGACTGTTACTGTATTTTATTTAATGTTCTTATTCTAAACTGTTTTAATTATTTACTGTATTTTATTTTTTATTCTAAATTGTTTTAATTATTCTGATTTATTTTGATTATTTTTATTTCTTCTATGCAAAGCACTTTGAGTTACCATTGTGTATGAAATGTGCTATATAAAAAAACTTGCCTTGCACATGAATTTCAATATCATAGTGCTCAGGAACCCTTCTGTAGTTTAGTTGTCTTGGGCGGTGAGAAGTTGAAATCAGGTCAACTTTTATGGTAATGAGCTATGACGTGGTTCTGCGGCACCCAATTGTAATGTAGAAGTGCTCTGCTTTAGAGGATTCCAGAGAATGCAGTCAAGTAACTTTGGTTCCGTCCACATTATTTCCCAAGCACAATAGGAGAGATTGATCATTTGAATTTGATAAGAAGGCGCGCAACACTGTCTATAGGCTTGATTTTCGTGCTAGAACACTTGTTTATCAGTGGGAATGTAAAGTTGAATAGCACTTAACCATTAACACAAAAGCCACACCACATAAATGGCTTTTAATTGGTTTATTTCATTCGCAAACATGTCACTATAATAAAGTTATTTCCTTTGATCAATGTTCTGCAAAAATAACTAATTGACATGCTTGTTTGCTTTTGCGGCCCCTTTAAATGGTTTAAAAAAAGACCAAGCATTCGATTTATGTCAGAGTGTCCACGAATCTTTCCACGGCCTCGCTGGCCTGACGGCCAGAGCGATATATATATATATTTTTTTTTCCCCCGAGCTTTCTATAGTGAATTATCGTGTGTGTGAGTTGAGTATATGCTGAGTTTCGGCTCATTTCTGTTCGGCTCATTTTCTTCTCACACAGTAAAGTGTCTCCACACACGCACACAGATATGAGTCTAATGTTAATCTGATAAATGTGTTATTAGAGTGAGTGACTTGTAAAGTTATTACTACTTGCATGTTTCAAGTGATAAGCCATATTTAAGGTCATTGACTGATAGGCGAATGTTTGGATTTCATTCAGACTGCCGTTATTGATTTGTCTGTCAAAGCCTGCGTGATAACCTGCAAGCTTTTTTTTTCTTCCTGCGACTAACTAATAAAATCATAGTTGATTATTAGAGGGCAGACCTAATAAATACTGATTATAGGATTTAGAACTACAGATTGTAATTGCAGCACACACACTTTTATCATTTCAATAGTTTTTTTTTCTGTCCACTTAGGTAAAAGTACCCAGAAGACACCCTGGCAGCAGACAGAGGTGCAGGCGGTGGAAAGGCACATGCAGCGATTCATCACATCGCTCACTGTACCAGCAAAGAGCGACTGTGAAAAGTGCTTGAAAGCTGAACCAGGAGCACTGAAGAACCGTGATTGGAAGAATGTAAAATTTTACATTTATAATCGTATTACAGCTTACAAAAAGAAATTCCAGTGCAAATAATAATAATGTGAACATCATGGCAGGTTTTGTTCAAAGATTTTAAAGGGTTAAAGATGTTTTAAGGTTTACTATCCCTTTAAAACTACAGAAACACTTGTAGGCTATAGAATAATTTTGTTTGCCATATGTTTTATGATGACTGTGATGGCCACCAGTCGGAAAACATTGATCAAACAACATTTCAAATAGAGTGTCATGTTTGCAGTACAGTATGTTTATGATGACCACCAGTCGGAAAGCATTGGTTGGACAAAGTTAATTTAAAGTCGTAGTTTGTTTAAATTCACATGTATGTGAAAGGAAGCATGTGTGAAAGTTATTTTTTTTTATATATACTTTTAATATCAGGACCTTGTTTTTAGGTATGACTTCATTTTGAGTTTTGTGAAGCTGAGTTCAATAAAAGTTGAATTCCGCAATCGTAATGTGAATTAATGTATTGAAGCTCAATTAGTAGTATGTGTCTCAAATAAGTGTCAGGTGAATGAGAAGCAGCTGATGCTTGGAGGAGGTTGACTGAAAAATTACAATAATAGAAAGGATAATTTGTGGGTATGAAATGGGTCACTAGCACCATATGCGGGCCTTACTATATCTCCACATTAAGTAATCAAAGTTGTTCTACTGCATATTTTAATTCTCCTTGCTTGTAGATTAAACCCATTTTTAAGGGCAAATGGATAAATGAAATCTGAAGATTTACTAGTGTAAATGCCTATTATTTTTCTATCTAGGTCCCCACAAATCAACTGGGAGGTTGTGTGAATTATGCAAATTGGGTCCCCACAAATCGAAAGGGAGGTGTGAATTATGCAAAGTGGGTCCCTATGAGACATGTCCACTCGATTTTTCAAATGTCCCCATTGTGCATGATCAAATCATTACTTCATCAATTCAGATATTTAAAGGTGTGTATAAGTTGTCAAAGTTATGGTAAGTATCCCTAATTTTTTTTATACTTCTAAACCCTTTAGAAAGGGTGGTCCCCACAGGTGATGGTCATAAAGTTGGTCCCCATCCAACATGGAAACCAGTATGTGTGTGTCTAATGTCATTCAAAAGTTTGAAGTCAGAAAGATTTTTTTAAATGTGTTCTTCCTCTTATCCGCACCAAGGCTGCATTTATTTGATCAAAAATACAGTAAAGTTGTAATATTGTAAATAATTTTTAGCATTATTACTGCTAAATTAATGCTAAAAGTCTTCAGTGTCACGATCCTTCAGAAATCATTCTAAATTTTCGATTTGGTGCTCAAGAAACATTTATTATTATAATCAATTCAAAGAGTTTTTTAATCAAAGAGTTGTGCGGCTTAATGTGTGTGTTTTTTTTAGGGAAAACCCTTATACATTTCACTTTTTTGATGAATAAAACAACATGATTTATCTAAAATAGAAAACATTTGTATCATCAGTTTCGATCAATTCAATGCATTCTAGATTAATAAAATTATTAATTTCTTAAAAAAAAAAATGTTCTCACCCCTAACTTTTGAATGGTTGTATATAACCCACATTTTACCTTTATTTAGCCATGCTGATTTAATGAATGTTACGCAATGGTGAGTATTCTATAAGGTCATTACATGACCCAATATTATGATAAATATTGGTATAGTATTGTGTGCCTGCTGTCTTATTCATATTTCTAGAAACCAGAATATTGGCTTAAAGGGATACTCCACTTTTTTGGAAATAGGCTCATTTTACAACTCCCCCAAAGTCAAACCGTTCAGCCGATTTTCTAAAATTTAGAAGAATATCAGTTACCTGACTGTTTCTGGTCTCATTGAGTTACATAGTAGGAAAAAAATATACTATGGAAGTCAATGAGACCAGAAACTGTCTGTTTACTGATATTCTTCTAAATATCAGAAAATCGACTGAATACATCTGAAAACGGTAAAACTCAACTGATTAACTCTGGGGGAGAGGTAAAATGAGCCTATTTCCCCCCCAAAAAAGTGGAGTATCCCTTTAATCTTTATTAAGCCAATCTTTATTATGTTATTGTTCATATTGGTTGATGTGTTTACATGACACTTACCAAATTCTGAATGTTTTTGTTGCATATAAATGTGATGATTGACGTAATTCTGTTTGTGGCATTTGTTCAATTACGTGACACTGAGGAATCCTTTTCTTGAGTGCATAGTCTTCGTAGCCCTTGTTGATGAAAGACAACACCCATAAGACAAAAGTAGGACAAAACAACAATTTGTATGCCTCCGTTCAGTGCAATGTGTCATCATACATAACTCTTAATAGAAAATCAAGCATTGATTTCTCAAGCATGTCTTGTGTACCCAAAGGTCTGACGTATAAAGTGGGCCTCTGACTAGTTAAGATTAGACCCTTGAAAATGTGACAAAACAATTCCCTTTCCTCAGGTGGTCTTCTTGTTTGTTTTGACAGAGGGGGGTGGTGATGGAATGTCAGCTTTCAAGCCTTCTCTCAGAAGGTAGAGAGGGAAGACGGGGGAGGAAAAGGGAGGGTATGTGGGTCACAGGGAGGTTGTCTGGGTGTTGTCTTCTAGTTTCCTCCATTTCCTAGCCTTCCCCCCATACATTTATGCCACTCCACATGCACACATGCAATGTCTTCCAGCTGCTCTGTCTTATATGCTTCAGGACCCCTCCCAAAGCACATAACTCTGTTCTCAGAGCTCTTTTCCAGGATGCTTATTATGTGACTTGCTGTTGACTTGATTTGAGTCTATTGAGTAATTTGTATATTATTAAATATTTAGTTATATATCATTTTAATTATGTATAATTTGGACATTTTCAGAGTTAAATATTCCAAAAGTCATCACTTTTTTTTTGTTTACGGTAGTTTGCTTACGACTTGCTTTGTCAGTGTCCATTTTCCTCACTGTCAATAAAAAAAATAAAGCTTTTCTTTTCTTTTTTTTTGGTCAAACTTTTTATTGGACATCATGCTTAAACCCACATATGTCATTTCATACGCCTCTCATTTAGACAGTTTTATAACCCATTCTCTTTTGTAGGCAGTTTTTTCCCAGACTGCAGCCTTCAGTCTCTTGCCTCAGTCAAAGATAATTAAAATGTCAGCGCTCCTTCAGACAGCCAAGTCACAGATGGACACAGGACAGTCCTTTGCTCCCTGACTGACTTAACAAACCAGCAGCCCATCCTACTCACCGTAGCCTCCAGATGGTAACAGGAGATATATATGTGTCTTTATATGTAGTTCAGAGCTTATATGTCTAAAGCTGGTCAATTTGGTTGATGGCTGAGAGCTAATTATATTTGTCGGAACTGATAAGAAAATGTTGCATAATTCATGGAAAGCATTCCAGTAATGTGAACGTTCATACTGCATAAATAATATAGTGTGTGCTGCTGTACATTGTAATCCGGACTTGTTTGCATAATTACAGTAAATTCTGCCCCTGCATCATGTGATTCTGTTTACCCCCAAGATACATGGGTGGGAGATCATGTTCTTTGACATTCAGTGTGTGTGGGAGCCAGGAATACTTTCAGGTTTCCAGTTCATTCCGCTGGCAGCCAGTCTCCCAGACACCTGCTGGGCGGAGAGTGTTGTGTTTATGCTCGTGTTTGCATGTGTATTAAAATATGTTAATATGAAGACATTCTTAATAAGGTATAAAATGATTACATTATTTGTAGAACTATGAATTCATTTTATGACCGTTTCAACATTTGGTGCAGCTTCAGTAATTTGGTGTTGACTCTCTCAGAATACGTTTCACCTGTCCTTTGATCTTATCCAGTCCACCTATGACATGTTGTATCACGTGGCCTCTGTTGTTGTAGAATGGGATGGGAGAGGGGATATCTTTGTGACCTTAAGGGCTGAGTGCAATGGGTTGTTATCTGCCTCAGTATCCTAATGATATGTTTTCAGTGCGGAGGTCACCTCAGAAGAAGTGCACGTCTTTGCGACAGAAGTTTTTTACTGTTGTTGTAATTTTTTTTTTTTTTTTTTTTTACTTTTTGGATTTACTGAACTTTAAATCAAGGTTTCTTAAAAGTCACTTCCCGCAGTTAGAGATGCCCTATTTTTTGGTTTCTGGGATGTGAGTGGTTTTGTCAGACAGAGACATAAAGGCATTCTCCTCAGGCTCACGCCAACATTGAACTAGGCCAACTGTGAAAAAAGAATTGTGCTGCAGACATTCCTCTGGAAACGTATATATGGTCCACATTCTTGACAAATTAAATCCAGTCGTATTTCCATAAGGTTTTGATATTGTCAGGTTGCATTTGACTATAACTGGCTTGTGTAGTTGAGAGTTCACTTGTGTGGTCTGTATCAGATTGCAGAGTGTAATATTTCTCTTGAATCCATCAAGAGAAATCGACTGGGAAAGTGCCTCGCTCATTCTTTACTTGCCAGTTGGGGATTCCCTGGTATGTTTGTGAAGAAGTCTATACATGAGTACAATTGATCGTGTCTATCTCAGCATGTTTTGTAAATGTTTAGAAAAGTGCTGGATTTAAGTGCAACTTAATATAAATAACCTAGATATTTATGGATTAATATTTCATAAAGAGAAATGTTCACAAAAAAGTTCAACACCTACTGGGATACTACAGTATATTAATAGTGAATTAAGCAAATTAAGATGGTAGAATTGTTTGTTTTTTTTTAATCAAGAAGCTAAAAATCTAAACTTTAAATACTGTTAGTGAACAAATTTACAAAAACATTTTTTACAGTGTTAAATTTATGAGAACTACAGAGTCATATATTTCACAGAAAGTTTTTTGTAACATATTAAATGTCAGGAAGCAACACACAAGCTTCTGGTTCCTCATTTGGAAGCTAATTCTGATCATTGAGTCACAGTGTTTTCCATGCTTTGACTTTTCCATGTGATGATCTTGTGATGTAACGACATGCTAATGAGGCTCTGTGAATGATGATGAGTAAAGAAGCAGCAGACTGCGATGACCTACTTTTGCCCTTTGTCTGGAATTGGTTACCATCCATGTTCCTGCTTGGAAGCCAGTATTATTTAATTATATTTTCTTTATGATTGTGAAGTTAAAAGTTGGGATGGAGAAGGCTGGTCGGACTGGTGCTTTTTTTTAGTTGGCTTACATCAAATAATTGAGTCCGAATTCATATATGATGCAAGTCAATCTTGAGTTAGATATTGGTATGTCTGTTTGTTGGGGTACTGAATGTCTCCATTTGACTTGTTAAACTTAAAACTCAAAATGACACCCAATGTGGCATAATATTATTTGGTGAAAATGGAGCATTTTGAATTATTTTTAATGAATGGGGTTGTAAATGGAAGCCTAGCTATTAAACAACATGATTACAGAGTGACACCAAAGATCAAAAGACAAAGCCGATTGTGACCTCCTTGCCTTCCAGTATGAAGATTGTGTTGGGGAAGCTACTCTGAAACTGTAGTTTGACAAGCTACAAGCTACTCGTAAGTTAAAGTAGTTAAACTACAGTCAAGCTACTCTTTTGGAAAAGTAGTTAGCTACACTACAAGTTACTATCAAAAAGTAGCTAGCTACATTGAAACTACTTTTGCTTTTTTGAACAACGTATTATTAATAACTGAATAAGTGTCTGAGGACAGAAGGGGACAACAATACTTTTTGAAATCATAATTTTATTGCATTGTTTTAAACACTAAAACAATGCAATAAAATTATGATTTCAAAAACTATTGTTTTATTACACACAACACCCAAATATCTCAGATTGTTTGTCAAAAGTGCAAAATTGTAACCAATAGGCTACAACATTGCAAGAAAAAAATATACATCCAACGTAAATTGCATGTAGAACATTTTCTCAAAAATACCGATTGAACTTGGACAAATAAGGCCATGGGTAATTAACGTTAGTTGTTTCTCCATCCTCCAAATCTGCTGTCACATCTTGCTCCATCATCGTGTGTGTCAACACACTTCTGTACGTCAGTGAACTGTTAGCCGCAGATGTGTGATTAAACAACAGGTAGCGGTGATGGCAAAAAAATGAGTTTGTAATCTAACAAGAAGAAGAATATCCTAGCAGCGCGCTGATTCGCGCAGGCTCGACAAACACAATGTAGCTTTTGCTCGAGCTACACCGCTACTTGCTGCAAAAAGTAGTTAGCTACTGGAAAAGCTACACCGTTTAAAAAGCAACTGAGCTACAGCCAAGCTACTCAAAAATGTAGTTAAGTTAGTAGCTTTGCTACTTGTAGTTAACTACTCCCCAACACTGGATTCAACACACACATGAAGTAACCATATGGTAAAGTTTCTGTAGTACATTAGCACTTTGGTTTACACTGCTGTGGTTTTTAACACTGTGCCTGATCATCTCTGTCAACTGCTAGTGCATTTGTTTCCTCAGAATGAATGTGGCAGAAATGTTTGAATGAGTAAAAATGACAATTTCAATGTTTAGCATTCTTATGTGTAAAAGAAATGTACACACTCTACATAGACTTTTGTGTTTTGCAAGACTCTCTTTGTTTAATCAAGTGATCAACAATCAACACATTTCGCTTTAAGCATACATTTTTATCCTTGTTCTGTTTTAAGGATTTTTTAAGTCAAACATGTAAATGTAACAACAGGCACCGTATCATATATTATTTTTAAGCATTTCAAACATCTAAATAATTCATGCATCACTTTTCACATTCATAATGCCCCATCTAGGACTACAATAGGGGTGTGAATACCTCTGGAGCAGAAGGGGAGCCAAGTCAGACTGTCTGTGCTGACTAAGCTTAAATGTGTATTTAATGGGACGAATGACTGTATTTGAAAGAACTTGTAGCTGTTTCTCTTCAACTTTTTGTTATCTTTGGTTCTTGTCATTAGTATTAACTTTTGCAGAGTACTTAGCTCTTCATATCTTCATGAACACCTCCACAATTCAGCACTTCACAATGAACAATGACTTTCAATATACACAGAGGTTATATAACTGTGGGCCCATTGTGGTGGTGTTAGCCAAGATGTGAAATCTGTGAATGGTTATTTTCAAGCATAATGCTCCCCATATTCAGATTTTATTCAGGCTGGTTGTCAAAGGCACGAAGAAACATCTCCACTTTCACACCACATTTGAACTGTCTTTTGTGATGCAGATTTTTACAGATGATTCATACACGTCTTTAAAGCTTCAGAACTTTGTTCGATTCTGCTTTTTTAACAAATGTTTTCACTTTATGTGATCTATAGGCTCCCTCATTTAAGGTGCTGGTTTGATATCAGCTGATTTCTTCTTATGTGCATAATACTTTAAACACTTGAATATGAATATTATAGTTTTTTTTTTTTTGTTTAACCAGTAAGAGGAGTAAAACGTTTAGCAGATAAATCAATTTGTTATGTCAATTTAAAAGACAAACTGATACGTGTGATGTTTAAACATGCTATTGGTGCGCAGTTAGCACACCTCATGAAGGTGTGAGAGAGCTGATGACCTCTCGCCTCGGCCCCCCGACCTGCGATGAGAGAAGGAAAACCCCTGTGAATTGTTTGAGGTAATCACTGTAGTATCTGATGTGGGGGGCGTGCCCAGTTTCTGTGAAAGTCCAGGCATCCTGATACATATCTAAGAAACATGCATGTGTTGAAATGGCACATTAGCAAAACTTCTAAGATGAGATAAGGTATAGAAAATAATGTAGTGGGTTTTACAGATTTATTTCAAATTAAGCTAAAGATATTGTAGGTAAACGCAGATACAAACACTTTGTAAACTAATATTATCAGTCTGTAGCCTACTAAAGTGTTATCTGGATTTTATCAAAAATATAAAAAATGAGACTTGAGGGAGATTCCCCAAAATATCCCCATTCACATCAATTATGCTTGTTAACATTCAACTATTTATTTTGTTTCAATAAATGTGGATTATGAGAAAAGATAATTTCAAGTTCACCATGCCGTTTAATTAGCCTACTACTTTATGCAAATGAGACCAGTGTATTTCTGTATAGCCTATAGCCCAATGGCAGACTTGTAAGTACCAAGACAATTATTTTCAGGGGATTTTTGCTGAATTGTGGGATTCTGCTTTGTCATAAGTTCTTCTTTCAGTTGTCGTTTTAGAGAAATCGCTATGCTTGCTTTCGCAAACTGATGGGTGCGCGCTGACATGCACGCGGGTGTCTGAGTCTGATGCTGTCCGCTGATTGGTCACCTCGCATCCCACAGCTCAGCCTACTATCATTTACTATTCGCGCGCTCTCAGTGGATCCGCACACTTGCTTGAGATCGTGAGTAAATAGCGCGTCGCACATCAGCTTCCTGGAGATATTTATAAGGATTATACGCTTGAATGTCACAGTCGGTGTTCGTATGACTTGGGAATACGCAGCGTGGTTTAAGACTTTTTAGTTGAATATGTTTTAAGTATCTTTTTCTTTGAAGTGTGTGATTATTATATGTTCGGAGGTTCTTGCTCAGCCATTCAACGCCAAACTTCTGCTGATCTGATCTACAGCGGAGTCTCTGTCCCTGTCGAGGTGAGAAACGCAAGCGATGTTTAATAACATGCTTCACCTGATGTTAGACGCCGCTTGTTTTTGCATGCATTTTGATATTGTTTCACAGTGCAACCTTCTCTATATCCGTCAGTCAATAAATGACATGCAAACAAGGCAGAATCCAGTTTCTTATATTTAAACATACCCAACACATATTCGTTGCTGATTATAGCCTAGTCATTGCTTTCTTATTAACATGAGTATTAAGAATCTAGGCTACGGCTCTGGTATGTTGGCGGTCCTGAATGTGACCTCTCACAATATCCTATGCACAACAAATACAGTCCCATATGTACCATAATGGATGATTACAATGTATTATTGGTTATTTATGGTATTGTTTGTGTTATTAAAAATCTAGTTTGCCTTTTTGACTGGTCTGATAGTTTGATTGTTTAATTGATTTAATCTTTAGACTTTGATACTATTATACCACGATTATAATATTTATATACCTCACTCGTTATATAGTTAAAGAGATACGGATATCTTAGGGAATTAAACATTTTTGATTCCAAGTCTTTAAAACTCATGGGGCTTAGCAGCTAGTGAAATCTTAAAGTATCATGAAAGGCCATTACATTTGTGTGTGTGAGAGATATAAATTTACAGTAAATTGGCATAGGAAAATAGTGTACATAATGTGTACTAAACAGATGGTGTGCAATTCAGAATGAAGATGGCAGTTTTATGGAGTTTTGTGTGTTCAGTGGGGAAATCATTTTCATTTGTCCTGTTATAGCTAGTAGTGGTGGATTTCTTGTGGATGGGTGGTTTTGGGAACTGGAGGGCTGTTGCTGAATATTCCCCTGTTGATTTCAGATGATCAGTACCCATGTGTTCCTCTCCACTATCAAGCTATTTTGGGAATTAAGCAGATTGTCATATCTACTTGATAAATCTGTGTTTATTGTAGTTTTTTGAATTTCATTGAAATAAGGGTTTCTTGTCTTTTCAAAAATTGTGTAAAGAAGTGTGTCCGAGGCACTTGATTTTGTTTTGAAATGCTGATCTGCATCAGGTTGCTGTGATTTGGCTGAACTTTGCCCCTGTGATACAAGTCATGCAGGTCGCTCAAAGTGCTTTTTTTACAGTGCGAAGGACGGTATGCCCTGTCAGACAAGCCCTTTATTTACTCAGACACACTTGAGTAGTTTCACTGAAGCTTTGGCTCCCTTCCCCCATTGTCTTACACACATACACACCTGCTCATTTCTCATATAATCCACTTTGACAGAAAAAAAAACTTAGATTCAATATCATCCTTTTGCTCAATTTATTTGGAAACTGGCAATGCTGTGTCATGCGGGCGTCTATGACAGTGTCTTGAGCCGACATGTTTATTTCCTCATTTCCTAATATTCGTAACGTCATTTCCACTCATTTGGATTTTATAGATTATTTTTATATTAAGATTACACTCACAAAGTTGATAAAATAGAAAATGTAATAAATAAAATAACATTCTTATTTACAATAATTACATTTCCATGTGTTATTAGGATCAATTTCCATGGAAATCATGAATTTTACAATTCCTTGATCGGTTCCATGAATCGTCTATATTGCAAATGCAGAGGTTAAAACCACAAAACCCATACATTCTGGGCTGTTTTGAAACCGCATCCTCAACAACAGAGTTTGTTGAGCTCATTGGCATGATTTCAGAAGCTGTAAAGTTGTTGTAAGTCTACTCTTTAAAGGTCGCTTCATGCTGAAAAAAAAAACAACAACAACCAAGGATCAAGCTCTAACAAATAGGAAGGACTGTTTACTGTTGTCGTGCTGACAGGAAGACATGATTCCCAATCATATTCCTCTAAAAGATCCAAACAAACAAATGCCTGCTGTATGACAAACAAGAAATTAGTATAAAAATCATGGAAATTCATTGGTCAATCAGTTTATTTGTCTTACTTAATGTTGCTTTATGCTTGAGGAAGTCTGTTGTGAGAGACGCAGTAATCAATACTACAGTCAACATGGGTGGGACTGAATGTTTTCAGCTTTCTGAAAGACATAACTATCTAAAATGCGGCCGTGGATGGATGCCAAATATTCTACATAGTCAAAATAAAAGCTCTGTCAAATACAGTGCAGCAATTGTGTGAAAGGATGGACCTTTTTGTTTGCTTACACACTATACGGTCCCTGTTGTGAAGGCTGTGCTCAGTGTTTGTTTAGGAGAGGGGAGAGGACATGTGGCGGGCCATACTTGACACCTGCAACCAAAAAGTAAACACATCCAGATTCCCTGCTACTACTAATCAGCTTCGGCTTTGTTTTATTCACTCTCAGAATTAAATTGGGATGCAGCTGGTGTGCCTAGTGAGTTTAAAAGGGCTTTGGCTTTTTCTGTTGCAGTTTTTAGCAGATTTGCATTGTGGCCTGGGGGCTTCGCTAATAGGTTTGCATCGGCAGATGCGCAGGAGGATCCTGCATTTTGGCCGTAAGTGGATTTAAGTCAAAAACAACAAGGTGGTTTATTTCTTTGCATGTTTTGGCCAATGCTGTACAGCAGGCCGAATGTGAGACGAAGAGTAATATCCCAGTAACTGATTACTGGTTCCCAGAGAGGCATCATTCATGCAGGACTTGACAAATTGTCAATTTCTGGTGATGAGAGCAAAGTCACTCGCTTTTCAACTCATTGACTTGCTCAGATGGTATAACACATGGTAAAGCAGATGCGCGGAGGGCATTTCTTCTTTGACCTATTGGGGCTCCATTTTGATGCTAATGTCTATGGTTTTATGAAGGAGGTCTCAGTGGGGGCCATGTACGTCCTCATGCGACACCCCCTCCCTCCTGTGCACTCCCGTCCGACTCTGGCACCCGAACGTCTGTGAGCCTGAATAGGCAGGCGGCCATTGGGGCCACACATTGTTTGGGGTGTCCCTTGACGCCCCGTGCCTTAGCTGTGAATGCCTCCATTGAGGGGCCCATATGCGCAGTGTCCAGGAATCTCGCATAAAGTCACGGGCTGAGCTCTGAAATGGCACAGAAGCTCGTGCTGGCATGCTGGAGACGCCCGCGTGATTAGGTGATGCATTGACATGTGCAAAGCTCACTTTCTGCCGTTCCACGAGAGCCTGGAAGATACAGAAGGGAGATATAGGAGGGAGGGAGGCAGTGTGAGTCAGTGCTCTTTGTGTGGGTAAAGAACTGCATTTGTCTGCTTATCACCTCTAGCTAATGGTGACCGACTCACAGGACTCTCATCTGTAAAGGGCCACGTTTTGGTTTTGAGAGGGGGCGTTATGTGGAGAGAATCCTTCTTTTCAGAAGCACTAGATCTCATAGGTCATCGTGTTTATTTTCTTCGCATCAAACCATGGTTAAAAGAGCCTCTGTTTTGTACATCCACGTGAGGTAAAAGCAGCATGAAGATTAAGTTGTTGGTGTTTGTGAGCAGTGGGATGTTCAGGTGATTTATGGTGGATTAGAGCTAGCGAGTGTGAGTCTGAAATGCGCACTGAATGGAGATTAAATTCAAGTTCTCTTAGGCTCAATCAGGGAAGGTGTTTGCACATTGAGATTAATCGCGACGGATTCATCCCCATGAGTCGTCCATCCGAGGAAGAGTAATTTTCCACTCAGCTTCCTATAATGATACTGGGGACTTTGTGTTTTACACAAATGTAAACAAACTTTTCTGAGGAAAATGAAGGCTCAGCATTAAAGGCACACTATGCACTCTCTGGTTTTTTTGTAAAACAGTGACCTCTAGAGCCGCTGTGGTGTACTTGCACTGTCGTAAATAACCGTTATTCCCCTGTTACTGCATATACTGTCAAGTGCTAGACTGCTTTTTAATAATAAAGTTGCCTATCGCGTTTGCTGGCTTATAGCGTTTTTACATGATTTCTGCAAAATCAGAAGTAAATAGCCTATAGTCTATAGGCTACTGTATAATTTCATTCATGTTTTTTGATTGTAATGTTAAAATTACAAAATGTCAGATGACATCAATCAAGTTAAATGTACGTCGCATTATTTCATAACATTGGACGTTATGATTTAGACATGATTACAATTTATCATAATAGCAAATTGTGTTCAATTATTTACAACCTCTAGGCTTATATATGTCCTAATAATTATGTGAGATATTGACTATGTCCTCATGGTAATCGCAAGAATCAACATCAACAGCGTCAAGATTTGATTGATTCATAATCAACACAATTTGAAGTTACAGTCGGGAAGTGTACTGTTAGTCAGATAAACTTGATATAACAGTAACTTACACACGTCATAAGAAATCCGAACCAGACACAGGACTAAAGATAAGTGATAAATACACATCACAACACCTGAGTTCAGCTGGCAAACTAGCTCTTGTGGCAAGCTCGGCAATAAAACATAACGGAAAAAACAACAAGACTAAGAGAAACGACTGTTTTTAGGAAGTCTGCTTAAAGCTCTGGTAATCGAAAGCTATAGACATGTGAGAATTATTGAACTGGTCTTATTATCAACAACGGATGAATGAACAGCACCGTAAAAAATTACATACCACAAGCCAGTGCAGCAACATACAATATAGAAACAACTAGTATACAAATACAAACAAGTTTATAAATAAGAGATTTACTTACAAGTCCATCAACAAGATCGCCAGGTCAGCATCGCAGTTACAATCCAGTGCAGCTTTTAAGCTCGCGCCAACGAGTGAAAGCCCGACCGAGTGGACTCTTGTCCGGTTTCTAGCACGGTCCGATTCTCTTTCCCTGTTTCGAAAGTAGCTTCATACAGTATGATGTTGTTGATGCGTGTGACGTCGTTGCCGTAAACCATTTCGTGATTCTCACGCGCTGTGTCAGGGGCGCCACTCTCAAACTTGCATGGCTGGTTTTTCCGGCGGCGTCCCCCCCAAGCTTTCCTACCAGGATGATTCGCCCTACTATGACTTTGTTAACCACCAAAACGACTTTGAAGCTGTTATATTAAGGTACAGATCTTGCATAGAGTGCCTTTAACGAATTGGTTCATACGTTAATGTCTGTTTTTGGGTGTGTTTGCATTCATCTGAGGCTCATAAGACTATATCCTTCAACAGGACAAAATGCCTCAAACGCCACCCTTTCCAGTGATGTATGGGCCCAATGGATACAACAAGAATATTTATGAGGCCAAGGAGGAAGACTACGAAGGCCTGTATTACCATGACAACACCCTGGTGTCGGGGTCCTTGGAGGCACTTATTGAGCACTTGGTCCCTACAGTGGCGTACTATCCTGATGTGAGTATAGAGAGTATCAAAAGTATTCAGCCTTATTCTGATATTGTATTTTGAGTATTGAAAACACATGGACGCTCATTTTTATGTCTCAAATTATTTTTTTAAAATGTCAAAACTGTCTAACTATCATCAACATTTACTGCCTCCTTCAAAAGGTTGGGTTCAGTATATTTTTTTAAATAAAGAAATTAATACTTTTAAGGACCCATTAAATTGATCAAAAGTAGATTTCTATTTAATCTGTTGTTCTTTTGAACATTCCATTTATCAAAGAATCCTGAAGAAAAAAAAGTTTCCAAAAAAATTTAATAAAATAAACTTAAGCTGCACAACTGTTTTCAACATTGATGATAATAAGAATGTTTTTTTGAGCACCAAATACTGTATATATATATTTTAAGGATCATGTGACACTAAAGACTGGCATAATGATGCTGAAAATTTAGCGTTGCCATCACAGGAATACATTTTAAATGTATATTAAGATGGAAAACAGATAAAAATTAATTTTTAGTTTAAAATAGATATTTTAAACTAATATTACGATCAAATAAATACAGACTTGCTGGGCAAATCTTTTTTTGAAAAAACAACAACAACAACCCAAAACTTTGTAACAGTAATGCAGCTTACTAGTTATATTCTCCAGAAATATATAAATGTATGTAGTTAACACTTAGATTTATTGTAGTTCAATACTAGTTTTGTTTAGATAGAACAATGAAAAACATATTATTGCAAACTTTGATCAAATTTTTATTGACTTGCAGAGGACATACATCTTCACGTTTCTGCTCAGTTCCCGTCTCTTTACTCATCCATATGAGCTGATGTCCAAAGTGTGCCATTTATGTGTGGACCAGCAGAGGCTCAGTGATCCTCAGGCGGACAAGGTAAACTGGCAAAGACATGATGTATCATTACACTGATTGAAGGTGTCTTCAGTCGTAATGGTTGCTCTAGCTTTAGCAAGGAACTGAATCTAGAGACAATAATTTGCAATTGCATTGTTTATTTTTACTTGATCTATAGGCAAGAGTCAGGAAAATTGCTCCTAAGATCCTGCAGTTGCTGACTGAGTGGACCGAGACGTTTCCCTATGACTTCAGGGATGAAAGGATGATGAAGAGTCTGAAGGAACTAACACATCGTCTGAGTACTGGAGATGAAGTAAGTCTGCCGCTTCCAAGTGTTTGGTGATAATTTCAGCAGAAACAATACAATGAGTTTTTTATTCTTAAGGAAATGTCAGCTAAAGGGCAATGCCGTTTTAAAATAATAGTCACCTAAAGGTGAGAATACTTGTCAAAGACATTAGCGTTTCTTTATACCTTTAGTACCACTATTAGCATAGAGAGAATAAAACATTTTTGCATAAGTCTTAACATGGCTTCTTTAAAATTCGGCTGCTTAAGACATAAGATGTAACACGCTGGGTGAGAAGGTGTCAACACCTGGGCATTGGGGAGTGAGATTTCTTTAGACCTAAAATGCTCTGACAGAAGTGAGAATAAAGCTCTTTTGTTCGGCTGCTTTTGTCTTCACTGGTGCTTTTCCACAGGCTGCATTTAAATTGTTCCATTAGCCCTGATGTTACCATGTTCTGGCTTAGCATTTTTTTTCCTCAAAGGGATTTTTCACCACATTTGGGATAGTTTATGCTAAATTCTTTTTAAACTTCCAGGACACAAAAAAAAAAAAAAAAAAAAGCAACACTCTGATCAGATTTTATTTTTTACATCAGGTTCTGTTGTTCCCACATACTTTTGCTGTTTATCGGTCGATGCTGAGGCTGTCACTTCCTTTTAAATTTGAATAAAGTTGGCAGCTCTCATTAAGATTTGTCCTCGAATGTCCCTGTGAACATTTGTCTCCATTGTCCGCAGTTGAACAGTCCTCCTCTGTCTGCAAATCTTGATTTTGTTAATGTACAGTGAAAAAGATTTGCCCGAGCAAGGTCTGGTCATCTCACATGGTTGTGAGCATTAGTGTAATGACTAACAGCAGGGAGCTAGTTAGAATAGACCGTTTAAGATGGAGGGCGCTGACCCATCAGATCCAGAATCGAATGATGTTTCTCTAACCCGAAAAGACAAGAAGGACTCATCCTCCAGTGTCTTCTGCAGTAAACACATGTGTGGTTATTGATCTGCTTCATCCTGAGCCTGGAGATCGATGAGCTTCTGCTTCCCCGCTACGCTCATGGAGGAAATGTGTTCGTGTTGTACCGCCTCTTTAATCTTGTGAAAGGGTGATCAACTAATAAGACTACATGTAGAGTACACTCAAAAGATAACACGGAAAGCTAAAACTGTATAAGGGTCAATGATGTAGTTGACCTATTTTATTTAAAAATGTATTATAACCAAATTCATGCATACAATAACCTGAACATGCCTCTTATATGATGAATTAAGTTTATTTTTCTATCAAAAATGCTGAAATAAAACATGAAACCAACATGAATACAAGAGCAATATATTAAAAGTATATATTTTACCCCTATGTCACTGACCCATAATAATGAAAAACTCATCAAAGTCTCTTTGATCTTTACATCTACTACGTAGGCGAGACAAATTTAATCTGTGTAGATGTGTATCTGCCTGAGAAGAGCGTCTCAAAGCATGAAGAATGCATTTGTTCAGACCATCAGTATGCTGTCTGTATTATGTAATTCAGTCCCTGTGTTTTTCCCCTTCATTTGTGCGGCATGTACTCGTATGTGAATCGCGGGGTAATGGCAGTCTATTACAGTAGAGCACTGACTCTACATTGACGGGGGATTCACAGCAGCCACACAATAGACAATAGGTGTATTTATAATAATAAATGAGACAACATGTGTGGTGTATTTTCAAATGTACTCTCCAGTGCTCACAGCCCATCATAACAAGATCACTATAAGTGGTTTCCAGTTAGGCCTTTTAGGTTTTGACCTCTTCTGGACCTCATCGGTCCTGATGAGTTTCCCAGCAGTTGTTTGACCTGCTGTTTTCCGTCTTTTTACTGGCAATTGCATTGCAGATCTCTTGCTTTCGGTGCGGGAGCTAAGAATAGATGTTGTAACATCTGTGTCCAGACTCCAGACCGCAGTTTGGTCTTCAGGCTTCTTGTCTGCTTAGTTCACCATTATGCATGTGGTCTTCTGTATAGGAAAGGCAGTGCACAGTTGCATAATTGTATGTAGATCCAAGCGTTTGGTGCACATTTGGACACATTTTGAACAAATTCTGTTTATTGGGCAAGTAATGGAGAGCTTTTGGGGAGTCATCTGTACGGCTGTCGCACACTCGTGCCAGGGTTAAAAATGTGGAGGCAGCACACAGGCGGCTTTCTTATTTTTTCACAACAAGTAAGTTGTCTGATTTGCTGTATTAAAATGTCAAGCAGTTATCGCCAAGAACTCCTGCTAAAAATAATCTCCCTTTCCTCTGTTTGTGTCAACATGGTAGACCTTGGAGAGGGAACTATTAAAGATTCTCTGTGATTCTTTAAAGTGCTGCTAGGTCTCCTGCTGTTCTCTCGCTCTCGCAAATCATCAATGTGCCGGAGTGCACAAGAATGCAGGTTGTTCTCGAATGTTGAGTCAAATGGATTTATGTGCCAGTGACCTCCTGCACATCAGATTAATCAGTCAAAGGAGTACAGAAGCCCGACAGAAACAAAAGATGTTTTGTACATCCTGCACTCATTTAGGAAAACCTTGGACCGTTCACAGCAAGAATGATAATTATAACGGTTACTACATTAGCGCCCACACCAACGGGCAATATGGCTGTCAAATTTTTTATCGTTCCTTAGCTGGAAAAAATCGTAAATTATTGTAAGAAAAATCACGAAATACTTCTTAAAGAGACCACTGTTGTCGAGCAGGCAGAGGATGTAGATTTTTGTGTGACTGATGTTGAGCAACAGGGCATGACCGCTGCGGTCCTCTTCTTATGCAACAGAAGTCCAGAACTGTGTCAGGCTCTTGTTATTAGATAACTCAACCTCATCTTGTGTTACGAGGGGAAATGGGAGGCATGCAGGGGCTCTCGTGAACCTTTTGAAGAACCTTTGCTGTTTCGTAATCTTCCATTAACTGTTTATGTAACATACTACCCAACCCTATCTTGGAACGATAGACCAGTCATTGCTGGCCAGTCAAGTGGAAAGGGCTGAAAATCCCATACCCATTAGAACACTCTGTGTATTCGCTCAGCTTTCGTGTCAGTGCAGGACACGTCTAGCTGTCAATCCTTTCAAATGAATGACTAGCAGGTAATTCTGGTCTATAAAAGCATGGTTGTAATGAAATCCACAACTTCTGTCTCCTCTTCAGCTCTATCGTAAATCGGTGCAACAGATGACACAAACGCTGATCCGTAAGCTCACCACACTGAGTCAGTATGAGGAGGCCCTGGCCAAGATCAACTCGTCTGTGACCGACAGACTAACTGTTCTGAAGACCAAACCTCAGTCCATCCAGAGAGACATTCTGACCATCTGCAATGACCCCTTTACCCTGGCACAACAACTCACACACATTGAACTGGTGAGAGGAGCTTCCTCTGTTTACATGACCTTACATTCCTCACCTCACTGTGTGTTTGGGTGGATTTATTTACAAAATCAATAATCCGTGTAGTTATTTTCAATGCTACCATTTGGACTTACTGCAAATGATACACTGACTTCATTTTTATTTTTCAGGAAAGACTGAGCTACATTGGACCAGAGGAGTTTGTTCAGGCGTTTGTTCAGAAAGACCCTCTTGATAACGACAAGGTAACAGTCCCATCCTGTTTATGGTCAGCAAGGTTAACTAAAAATACATTCAACACAAATGGTATGTCTTTCGCTCACTGCAGCAAACAACCAACTTGGAGAAATCAATACGCACAATGTTTACGTTAACTCTCGGGTTCAACGCCGTGTCACCTTTTTCACACAGCGTTCACAGCACATTCCTTGTCTAATCTGTCATTGTCCAAATTTCCCTCCTCACGTTCCTCACAGTGTCCTTTTGTGGCCAAAGCCTAGCAACTGGTTTCTCACAATAACCCGCCAAAAGTTTGCTTAGCCCTGCCTCGTAATGCCCATTGCCGCTTGGCTGCTAGGCAGCAGCTTGTGTCGAGGCATTGCTGGTGCGATTTTTCTCTTTTGTTTTGATCGTCGTCTCTCCAGAGGGTCCTTGTGCACTGGCTCTCTGATGTTGTCCATCAAAGGTAGAGTAGGGTAGATTGTGCACTGTGGGACGGACGACACAGTCCGACTGTAGGAATGTGAGGAATGAAGGGTTAGAGTGACCCAAGCTTTCAGACAGAGCGTCCGCATACATTCCCTTAAACAGACAATAGCTCGAACTCTCTGATTGAATGCATTGTTGGAGATCATCAGTCATCTCAGAGGCCTTTGTTTCTTGGGTTGGGAATGTAGGAATCGCATATCTCAGCATTCAGAGGTTTGTGAGATCATGTCAAGAGCGATTTACAAATGATAAACTTAAATGGCTTTCAAAATTCCTGCAGTTAAGAATTTAGGATAAAAAATATATGCAATGATATTGAAAAAATAAATAAATACACAAGATGATTAAGTCAATAAATAAAACAAGACAGATAAAATCAACACATACATTTTGACAAATATTTCCATCAATAGCTAAATGAACGCTCAGCTAAAACAGGAAATGTAAAACCCAACGTAAATATTATAAAATGCATAGGAATAGTAAGAACACAGTAAAAACAGTGATAGAAGACAACTTCAAGGTCTCTCCATCATAGATATTTTTTGTATTTAACTACTTGGTTAAAAAAAAAACACGAAATTGGCTCATACCGATCAATTAAAAACACATGGTCTTTAAAAAACCCAACAAAAACTAGAAAACATTGTGGCGTGATTTTCTAAATTAAGCACTTGACTTAGCTTAAGCTCAAGCTAAGTGTAATTATAATAGTGAAACTGATCTTTTGAAATTTTGATTCTTGCAGAGATGCTTTAGTGATCACAAAAAAGCAAGTAACCTGGAGGCTTATGTGGAGTGGTTCAACAGGCTCAGCTACCTGGTGGCGACGGAGATCTGCATGGTAATTATCTGATCTTATGCTATGACTCACCTAGCAACTTAGTTAGTTATGTTGCACTATTAGTGATTCTCATGTGATTTTAAATATAGGCTTTATAGAAAACATACACTGGGGTCAGAAAATTCATGTTCTTTCTATTCATAAACAAATGTTAAATAAAAAGTTATTTCAAATTGTAATATTTCCGTTTTTTAATAGTATTTTTTGTTCAAATGAATGCAGCCTTGGTTAGCATAAGAGGCTTTCAAAAAAAAACTTTTATTTATATATATATATATATATATATATATCTCATTTAAAGGCTTTTAAGTATTTAGTGATCTTTGAAATCAGAATCCCTTTATTGATGGTCATAAATTGCTTGTTTTTCTTATGCAGCCTGTAAAGAAGAAACATCGGGCTCGAGTCATTGAGTTCTTCATCGACGTGGCACGAGAATGCTTCAACATTGGCAACTTCAACTCGCTCATGGCCATCATTAGTGAGTATTTTGATGTCCCTTGCAACACTTTGCTACAGAAAGCTCTCTTGTTCCCTACAAATCTGTTTGGATAAGACAGTTGCTGTTTTGGCAGGATTTGGTTTGCTTTTCTAATCCTTGCTCTTGTAAGCTTTACATGTGTCTTATAGACTATGCAAACACTATCAGGTTATTTGTGTTTGTGGAGTGATGCAGAGAGTCATATTTACCTGTGCGTTTAGGTTTAGATAATACAATTTTTAACCTTTACTGTATCTCAACTGTTCATTGTTTGGAAAATCTACAGATAATCTTTAGCTATATTATAATATATCTATATAAATATATATTCCAAACATTTGTATATTTGTTCGATTTCTATTGATAATGAAAGCATGCATCATATATTATATCAAAATGATGATTAGCTGCATGTGCCTGAGGCATTATGGGTAGGGGAGCAGGAGTGGAGAGGGCCATGAGAGGAGGCAGCTGGGAACGAGGGAGCGGCATCCTTCAGGCAGATGGTCAGTGCTGACCAATCCAATAGACTGAGAGGGACGGACTCATTGAGGAGGGGATTGTGGGAGGGAGGGAGTGGAACCAGCTGTCCTTTCCCTGGTCATTCCCAGGAGACGAGCCTGTGGGCCATGGCTCTTACACAAGCCTCTCTCCCTAGAGATGGAGGGCTGATATTAAAGTCACTGGAAGAGAACAAACAAGTCATGGGAAAGGTTGATCGCTCCTGCTAGTGTTTTTTTGGAGGCAGCGTACATTGTGTGATGTGAATGGAGTGTCAGCGCGTGGCTAGGACAGAAAGATCCTTCGCACTAGTATCGTGTTAGTGTGACGGAGCAGCTCTGGGTCTGTCACCTGTTAATACGTACAGACAGATTGTTAATGGTACTAGGTCTCAGATGTCTCGTCTGGTGATGGACAGATAGTGCTGATATTGTTCGGGCTTAAAACTGTTGTATTTGGAGAAGAAAAGATCTAAACAAATGGATTTTCACATGTAGATCACAAAATATTCAGGAAAATGGGAATGCATGTTATACAAATATCTAATATTTATCAATATAATTTTTTTAACACTGTAATTATCAAATACAGCCTTGGTGAGCATAGGAGACTTAAAAAAAAAAAACTTATTTCAGAGTGGACTGAATGCTAAAATAATAGCTAAAGAATGTGCAATAGGAAAGTAAAGTTGAATTTTAATTTCATATTGATTTTAAAGCATCAAAAACAAGTAATGTTCCTTAACATTTAAGGAAGGCTTATTAAGAAATGATTCTGTCGTCAGTACAGACGAATCTGATTGGCTGACCCACCCCTAGTGATTTCCAGTCAATACTCTGACCTCATCTGGTCATTACTGCTGACTGCACAAGCCCACCGTGACCCTCGGCACTATAAGCTGAACTTATTGTCGGAGGGAAATGACGCTCTGCTAATGCCATTGTTCATGTGGGCTCATGGGCCTAACTGCTCTGTTTGCTACAGAAAAAAACTGCACCTCTGACAGGAAACGAGGTGTTGCAGTGTGCTGACCTGTGTCTGTTTCTGTGTGTCTTTCAGCCGGGATGAACATGAGCCCTGTGTCACGGCTCAAGAAGACCTGGGGCAAAGTCAAAACCGCCAAATTTGATATACTAGAGGTAGGTTTTTCATCTTTTCTGTTTACAGTAGTGGGTGAGTGTGACTCACTGGAGTGAGGGAATATGTAGGGGACAGCATGAGTGGGATTGAATCCCGTTGAGATTGAACACAGTGCTGACATTGCACTAAGCACATTAAGTGTTCAACCCTGGCTCTTGTCCCCTTGACTTATGCATGCATGATGCTCAAACCCACGACAATATGTGCACCACCTCTTGTTAATTTTAGTCTCCAGTGGGCGAGAATTGCTGCTTTTGTATCATTATTTCTCTCAAGCATGGCAATTCTCCCTTTAAGTGGGTGTGCAAATGTTTACAAAGCTTTTTAGGCCACATTTTAGGGGTTGAGAGCTTTGAGGCTTTAATTTTCAAACTGCACACTGTGTTTACTGTCTAGAGGGTGTGTTTAGGTCTTGCTTTATCTTTATAGATTCCTTGAACTTGATGTATGACTTATGTACGCAATACACACGGTCGGTTGCAGCATTTTGATAAATGCTGTAAATAGGGACTGTATGTGTAGTCTTTAGGGAGGTTCAGCCTCTGTATAACAACACCTAGAGGTCGGCCAATAGTGGATTTTACGATACCGATATTTAGGTTTGACCTTGCATGCCGATAACCGATTATTCAACCGATATTTTTTAAAAATGGATATTGGATTAAAAACAAACATAGCACTCCAAGTAAAACTGTGCTGAACTGAAATGTGCTAAATTAAATAAATATATAAAAATTAATATATTAAAATGAGAACTTCTAGAACAAACTGAACAGAAAACAATTTAAGCATTAAAATATTACAGGTCAAAAATGTTTTTTTTTGGCTATAATTACCTAGAACATTTGTAAATTTCATGGGAAACACTTTGCAAGTCCCATTTGTTATCAAGGATGTAATATAGCTTTCATGAACTATGCATTATGCAATATACAAAACAGTTTTACTGCATGCATTATTATTTGAGCAATACAATTGTACCTTGATCGTTCATGTACGTTTTAGGATTTTTGCCGATAACGATAGTTCCACCAATCAACTATCGGTATCGATATATCGGCAAAACCGATGAATCAATCAACCTCTAACAATACCTTTACCTTTTGTTTTACTCTCTGTTTTAATATTTGGACGAATTAAATTTATCAAAAGTAACAGTAAATGCATTAAAAAAGTTAATAAAATATATATATATATATATATATATATATATATATATATATATAGAATAAATGCTGTTTTTTGTAGTATCAGTTTCACAAAAAAACATTCATAATAATAATATTTTTTTCCTTGAGCAGTAAATCAGCATATTATTATGATTTCTGAGGGTTCACGTGACCCTAAAGACAGGAGAAATGACTGCTGAAAATTCCAAATCTGCACCACATGAAGAAATTACATTTTAAAATATATTGCAAGTAATATTTAAACATACTATAGCTTAATATTACGTAATATTATTTAACAATTTTACTGTATTTTGGATCAACTAAATGAAGCCTTGGTGAGAGTAAGACACTTCTTTCAAAAGCATTACTGACCCCACTCCTTTGAACCATAGTGGACCTACTAAAACTGCTGAACCTTTGTGAACGTCTCACCTTCAGGCAAAAAGTTTAATGACGTTTGAAAGCACATGAAATGTATCATCTTACGTAGTTCCCATGAAAGAATGTCCCATGCTGAATGGTAACTAGAATGACTCATGTTGCCTAAATCAGTAGTTCTTACTAAGACGTAACCATGCCAAATGGATTCAGGGCTCATTAGAAACTTTAGTTTGTAGAAACCACATCTACATTTTCCAGGCCAAGTCCTGAGGTTGGTGCATAAACCTGTTTTTTCCCTCTATTCTCAGCACCAGATGGATCCCTCTAGCAATTTCTACAACTACAGAACAGCGCTGCGTGGAGCCACTCAGAGATCCATCACTGCTCATAGTAGCAGAGAGAAGGTAATGCACTTCATTTCTCCTTCCAGACATATTCTCACAGAAGTTTCAAACAGTGTTTGAAGTGTGTGATATGTTGTATTGATATTAACAACAAACATGCTGAGGATAATGATAACATCTGATTCATTACGTAAAAGATGCAAGTACAAAAAATGATCTTATATGCAGTCCCCAGTTCAGACACTTTGTATTTTCAGTAAATTGAGTTTGACCTCTTTGCCCAAGAGTTATGTAATAATGGCTGGACTGATGGATGATTTGCTGAGGGCAAGGCGTGAAATGGGACATTCTGTTTCCTCGGCAAAATATGCTCCATTTTTGTTCTAAAAACATGGCAGTCGGCCAGTTAACAAAATGTTCTGATTCTCTTCAATGTTTATTTGAGCAAACTCACGCAATAAACTCCATCCGGCATGAGTCTGCCAAAGGGATGTTGTGTCATTGTTAATGTCTTTGTCAAAGTGCACAACTTTTTTGTGTGTCCTTATATATTGTTGGGGGGATTTGTTTTTTGTTTGTTTTTGTTAAGCTTTGTAAGGCTTGTTTTGTGTCTTCGACTGGTTAGGGAGGAGATGTTCGCTGTGTGGGTTTAGGTGGTGAGTGAGACAGAATGTTCCAGAGCAACTCTGGAATGCTCAGCTTTTTTGCATCACAGTGTCCCATGTCACTTGTTTTTCCTTGAAATGTGTTTAGACTTTGGCTAGTGTTGTTACTTTAAATAAGATACAAGGGACATAATACGTGCATGTTCCAGGCCAGGAATTTCCACTGTAAACAAATTAAATCAGGAATGAATTACTGTTCTATTAATGTCCTTAACTCACTCACAACATGTTTTTTGACCCATTGTTTTGTTCACTAGTGTTATTACATTTATTTTAAGCTCAGTTTAAATTTGGGGTTAATTAGACACATGGGACTATACTCAAATAAACACAAAATAAGCTAAATAACAAAAGTAGTAAGTGAGATTATTAGTTTATACATTTCTCAGTTTTAGTGTTATATTTAGGTTTAAGACAAAAAAATAAATAAACAAAACAAAAATAAACATTTAAAAGAATTTGAGGATGATTTCATGAAATATACTGTATTAATATTCTTAAAAAAGGTATTTACTTAAATTTTCTTGTCTTCAGACTGATGGTAATTTTCAGGTGTACAAAAGATTTAGACCATGGCATTTATTTTTACTTGAATATTTTTTGCTCAGTAAGCCCACAATTTTTTTTCAGCTCTTTCCACATCTGATGCATATTTTTGCATTAAAGCTTGAATTGCGGATTATTTTATTGTGTTTTGAAGAGAGAGAGAGCTTTGTTTATCATGTTGTAGATGCGGTAACACACTGTTGCCTAATCCAGTCTTGCTGTGACGATAACCCTCAGATGGCCTCCAATGAGGTTGCATTTTTTTAAAGCTTTTGGTCAGTTGTTGCTGTTGTGTAATCGTATGTTCATTTTTTTTTTGCCTTATAGATTGTTATTCCTTTCTTCAGCCTCTTGATCAAAGACATTTACTTCCTCAATGAAGGATGTACCAACAGGCTCCCCAACGGACATGTCAATTTTGAGGTAATACTTTCTGTTTAACTCGGCGATACGTGCAAGCTAACATGATGCATGGAAACAACTGGCGTCACAGCTACTGCATAACAATGGGTGATTAAGAAAACACTGTCAAGCAGCAATTCTTTGACGTTTGCATCTGTTGAAATGAAGTTTCAAGGGCATGGATTCATTGTGACAGAAGCTACACACGAAACTTAGGTGATGATCTCTAACAGAATCAATCTTGACTGTGCTGCAGAAATTCTGGGAGCTGGCCAAACAAGTGATGGAGTTCATGACTTGGAAGAAGGTGGAGTGTCCTTTTGACAGAGACCGCAAGATTCTGCAGTATCTCCTGACCGCACCAGTCTTCAGTGAAGACGGTACTGATGTCATATGATGCTTTTCCATGCTAATTTTTTGCATGCTGTTGTGTTTTTTTTTTAAAGTTTCAGTGGAGATTATCTACTAAAAACCTAGACACTTAATAATATTGAGGGAAGACATTGCTGATTTTACATTATTTCTACATTCTGCCTAACTTGTTTACTGTGAGCTTGGACTTCCTGCCTGAACTAGAGCTCTTCTGCTCAGGTCACGTCATAAACCTGTTCTAATGACAGTTGCGAAATAAACACACAAATACCAGACACAAAGACAACTGCGCTTGTCATAATTTACCTCAGGTGTAAAATGCCGTCATGCTAAATAACCGAGTAACAAGAGTTCAGAACATTCCTCATGAACGAAAACAGGTGGCTTTGTTTTCTGTTGCTGACACACTCGTCTCATCTCAATGATCTGTCAACAGCTTTGTATCTGGCATCGTATGAAAGTGAAGGACCGGAGAACAACATGGAGAAAGACAGATGGAAATCTCTCAGGTGTGTATGATATGATTCATCAGGGATGTTGATTGACACTCCCTTGGCAAGTGTGAATGCATTCAGATGTTCAGATTATTCCTGACCTGTCTGATAGACATTGTCTATTAGTAATTGAGTTGCTAATCAAAATATTGAATTAACAGTCTTCCCACTGTCAGAGAAATATCGGGGAATTTAAATTGTGTGGTCCATGTCTTGAAAAATGATACAATTAAATATTAATCAAATCCTAAAGGTCATGGAAATTTCTGTAATAAATATAATTTAATCTAGCTATGCCATTCATCTAGAAGGTTAAATATTGGTAGTTTGTGTGCAATGCTTGCAATCCAAGTAATATCTTGATTTATAAGCAAATTGTTCTTTTGAGCGAATCAGTCAAAACGGTCACAAATGAATCTGAATGATTAATTGGCAAGTCGGACAGAATTAAGGATTTAAAAACAAAAATTTCATCCAATAATAACAAATGGTCCTGGAAATTAATCAGTGGAGAAATGTATAAACCTTCAATTAAGTTCATTTTGCGTTACTTTCATGATTTAAGGTACAGTTTGCCTTACTGGAACATTACACTCAAAATAAACAGTGTTTTGGGAATTATATTGTGTAACCTTAATCTTAAAGTATTCAAGAATATTTATTGCACTTTTTTAAAATTTGTTTTTATAAAGAAGCTTTTTGTCTTTTTTTGATTTCACGTTCATTTCAATCGTTTTCAATATGTAAACAGCTGACGAAAACACGTTCCATTAACACTTGCCAAAGATCACACAGTGATGGATACACACACATATGCGTGCTTGGAAAGGGTGAGACCTCTTGGCTCTTGCTTAGTCACGTTTCCTGATAGCTTTACTGCTCAAGAGGGATGTAGGGAGAGAGAGAGAGAGAGGGGGGGGGGGGGGGGAGGGGGGGGGGGGGGGAGTGATTGCAGAGGCTAATGTTGGGCTGGGTTTTTTTTTTCTTTCCACTGCGACAGGATCTGTCACAGCACCAGATTCTGTCTGTATCAGCAGTTCGTGATCTACCACACTCAATGTCTCGGAGTGAGGATAGTAGCCCAACAGGAAACAGGGCAGAGCAAAGAGAAAAGACAATCCAGCTGATGTGTAGACAGACAGAAGAATAATGTCCATAGGGCAAAGTTGTCTTTTATTGCTAGCCTGAAACCAGTTTATACTTGATTTATCAAGTGTTGGGTGCTGGACTTGGATCAGAATACAGGGCAGATATTGTACAGTGTGTCCATTCAGTCGTCTGCTTGTACTAAAACGGAAATGAGATGTTATTTCGAAATACATGTTATTGATCTTATTGTGAATAACCATACATTTCCTTTCCTTTTTTACCTTAATTACAAGGACTTTTTCAGTGTGCTCCGTTTAGTTGTGACTTTAAATAAAATACATTGAATGTTATGTATTTGCTTTATCATTTTGAATCATTGTATTTGACTCGTTAAATGAATATTTTGTTACAATTCTTGCAGGTCATCTTTGTTGAACAGGACGTAATCAAGTGATCCCTCTGAAAAGCAAGCTGTGTCCCCCTTTTGCCCCTTCCAAAAGTGAGATGTATCCCTGTTTTTCAAGGGAGATGACAATCCATGTTTTGCTGAACGGCACATTTTTATGTTGGAAAGAGGAGCATTTTTTTGCAAGGCCCTACTCTTTCTGTCTTTCATACTGGATATTGCAGGCTTTTTCATGTCTTTGTGCAGACTTTTGTACTCCCTTTTCCCCCTTTTTAAACCGTGGTTTGAGCTGAAGGAGAAATGTGTTTGGTATGTCCCTCGACTACAAACCAATTCCGGTCTATGCTGTCGTTCTTGTCTGTTGACTCTGTGAGTTTGCTGCTGGTTGGCAAACTCAATTGGAACAGGTTGGGGAAAAGAAAAAGAAAAAAACATCATGATGATATAAACCAGCATTATGTGTACTGGGTTCCAGTACTGTATATTTTTATTGTACCTGAAGCATTAATTTAAGTATAATTTTATGTTGTCACTATTTTTTGATAGTGTTTTTGTATGCACATGAGATGAGAGTAATGCACTGCTTCAACCTCTGTGAGTGACCATTGATGTGTGCGTGACAAACCCGCTGAGGGTTGCCAAATGCACTGGATGTTTCTGTTAATAAAGATGTCAATTCTTTTCTCGTGTAAACTCTTTTGTGATGATTCTGCAGCATAATGCTCCCCATCCCTTTTTATTGTCGTCATGGTTTACCGTCGAAGGAAAAGCAGTGTTTGTTTGTCAGTGTTACAGGTGTAATGCTGTTTCTTACACAATGAAGGTGATATTTATTGATGGATATCGCACTGTGTGTAAGAGAATTCTCCCAAGTGCTGTTGACCATAGTCAGTGGTGAATGGTGTTATGTCGTCCTCTGGTGGTGAAGTGACGAGGGGACAGATAGTGTTGTTCTTATCAGGGAGGAGTTAAATTCATGAAGGTTTATCATACCTGTGGTAGTTGGGATTTGAGTCCATTTATAGGATGTATTAGTTTTCATTACTGTTATATTAATATTTTCTATTTTTGGTTTTATTTATTGGCCTCCAAAATATCTGTAGTTGTCCTGTTTTTGCCTGCTTTACTGTTTTCAAATATGTCACAGATTTTTACATACTTTATTATATTATTTGTTATTTTGTACTAGGTACATGTTTTTTTATTAGTAATCAGATATTGCCCTATCTTATATTTTATAATGTTTATAAAAGTTTGTATGGAAAAATACTATTTGACGGTACTAGCACACATTATGAAGTTATTGTATGTCGGATGATGTCAATCTTTTTTTTTTTTTTTTCCTTATTGGAAAAGGTCCACAAATGCATCTTTTTTTCTATGTAAATATCATGTCTTTTTCTCCACTCTGTATATTGGTATGTATTTTGATTGTTTGGGCAGATTATAGAACCTCATGAATAGTATGGAGTGAACAAGAAAAAAGAGGAATTAAAGAATGCCTATAAAGCTATTTGAGTCTTTTTTGTTATGTGTGTGTCTCATGATTTTGTTTGGAAACAGTATATTGGAATAACAACAGGAATATTGTCCTCAATGATATTTGCTAAGTGAACGGGATTATGAAGGGATGAGTTGTAGGTTTATTAAAACTTGGGCTGTCAAACAATTAATCGCGATTAATCACATCCAAAATAAAAGTTTGTGTTTACATAATATATGTGGGTGCACTGTGTATAATTATTTTGTATATATATAAATACACACACATGCATGTATATTTAAGAAAAAAATATTATTTATAAAATATATATAAATTATATATAAATCTATATACAGTATATACATGAAAATATTTCTTAAATATATACAAGCATGTGTGTGTATTTATATGTATAAAATAATTATACACAGCGCACCCACATTATGTTAACACAAACTTTTATATTGGATGCGATTAATCGTTTGACAGTCCTAATTAAAGCTAGTCTCTTTATGAAACAGTCCAATAATTTTAGGGTCTGTAAAAATTATTTCCAATGGTTTTTGAAAGAAGTCTTATGGCTGTATTTATTTGATCAAATACAGTACAAAAACAATATTACTACAATTTGAAATAACTTGATTATTTAAAATATTTTTTAAATGTTATTTATTTACTCCTGTGATTTTTACATATTTTCAGCCTCTTGTAACATGAAACTTCAGAAATCATTGTAATATGACGATGTTGAACATCTTGATGCCCAGGAAACCTTTCATATTAAAGTTGAAAACCATTGTGCTGCTTAATAATTTTCAAGATTCTTTGATGAATACAAAAGTAAGCCTATTTGAAATCGAAAACTTTTAAAACTAACAATGTAAAAGTATTTACTGTCACCTTTGATCAATTTGACCTTTAATTGTTCTATATTTCTAATTTATCAGAATCTTCAACAATAAATATAAAGTTGGAAGGGTCCAGATCCAGTAATTTCTGTATTGTGGAAATGTAGTTTGCAATGATTACATGTAAAATATGAGTGGGTGAAGTATCTGAACTTTGTGATGTTGTAGAGCGTGAATCTAGATGATGGTTAGCATCACACTGCTCCAAACTTCCTGACTGACCTGGATGGTGTTATTGTTGATGCTGGGAGGAATTGCTTGGCTATATTGATCTGGAAGTGTTCATTTATCCAGGCTGAGATTTGTTCAGCCCACTGTAAGATCACCAGAGTGGGATGAGAGGTGGGGTAAAATATGCAAAATATTTTCAATGGGCCTATATTAATAGCCTAGAACTTCTAATTAATGTTCTTGCAATGTTTCAGAAATGTGTCAAAGACATGATGTATTGTTTTGAGGATGGTCCAAATTCAGACGAATAATGGGCCTCTGTCTCCATCTACTGGTCAACTATATCACCGTCAGATTTCTAAGACGACTTAATATTGATTTCTTTAGAGTTGGTATAGTTTTGGCCAAGTGCAGATGATAGGTTGGAAAAACAATATAATTTTGTATATTCTATTTAATTATATGTAGCCTATCATGTAGGCTAATATTTGCTTGATGCACAGTTCATGATTCACAGCTTTGAATGATATATTGGTAATTTCCATTGCCCGAGGGCGGCACTCTGATGCAAGTCACTGGTTCTGATTCGCAATGCGAATAAATCAATTCAACTGACTCGGGGATTGCTGTAATAGCACTAGCCTATGTCCAAAATCCATCTCATTGTAGCCTAAATCTGGATACATTATAAGCGTAATATAGCCATTTAAAGTCGAGATGATTCTAAGCAGTTTAGGGATGATCAGCAGCAGGTTTCACACTTTTTTTTTCCTCCAGCAATTATATATAAATTAAATATACATAGAAATTGTTTATATTTAAAATGTTATGGATTTAATTTTATTCATATACTGAGAATACGCATTCAATTGGTGTTGTCCCTCTATACGGGGTAAGTTGTGTCACAATAGGACCCGCTGTTAAACGTCACATGTGCTTTTCAGCAGTAGGCTACATTAATGAAACAATTATCAAACACAAAACAATGGATGAAACAGCAAAAATGGACAAAAAAAATTAACTATATTGTTTTGCCCAAGATCTGTGGACAAGATATTTAAAACAACAGCATTTAATTAATCCATAACACGCTTCGGGAAAACAAACCAAAATATAAATTAATTAATGACGAGAGAGAGAGAGAGAGAGAGAGAGAGAGAGAGAGAGAGAGAGAGAGAGAGAGAGAGAGAGAGAGAGAGAGAGAGAATCCTGCTGTAGCCTAATGAAGCCATCATCACGACTGCCTGTGTAGTTATTGTGGAGAAATGACACATGCCCAGTGTGTGCGCGTGAACTGGACGGAGCTGCTGCTGACTGGGGCTGCAGCCCAAACACACAACACTTTGTCAACCGTCTTCTTTTAAGAGTAGCCTACAACAGTTCCTCTACACGAAAACGGTAGGGGTTTTCCTTGTCATTTAAAACTAAACTTTATGCCTCTCAGAACCGTTTAGTTATCTAGACGATAAATTGGAAGAACAGGTGTAACGTCTGCATGGCTATACAAAACTGCGAGGGTAACGTTAGGCTATCATTTTAAAATTAAGCATTTACGTGTCGTTGAAAGAAAACACGTTTCTTAATTTTATTGTATTTCTGTTTAGCTTTGCATGAGGTTTACGTTGAGTATCGTAGGCTAAAATAACCTAAGCTATTTTTCTATTGTAGCTAACATCCTGTCTTAATAACATTTCTCAAGGATGTAAGCAAATAAAGCTAATCAAATATCCTGTGAATTCAACAACAGATTGGATGCAAACAAAATAACTCTTATTTAAACTGCATTGGCTACTTTGTTTTGTGTACTTAGTGTTTTAAGTTTATGTATGGAGTAGGCATGAGGTCTTGTGCTGTAAATACTGTGATTGTGCTCAAACATTCTTCTTTGTGATGGTGGGAGTGTACTGTCCATTGTATGTGTGTTCGTAAACCAAAGTGAATTACAAAACATCCTCTTTCATTTGTTTTTCCATCAATGAAAGTCAGCAAAGAATGACATCACAAGACAGTCCAGGAAAGAGCATACTGCACACTCACAGGGTGCTGGTGCCATCCGGTATTACCGTGCCTCTAAATTATTGATTAGGTCTAAATCACTGGGGCCAACAGATCTCTGGTAAAATGCTCTCTCTCACTCTTTATCTGAGATATGAAAATGTGGGTGATCGTTCTGTCTTGTTATGGCCCTCATAATGAGATATACATGACAGGTAGATGAAAGGCATGGGAGGATCCCCTAACCTTTACCATCAAAGTTGTGTTCTGTAGAGCATAAATGCCAGCATTAAACCTGACGACAAAAGATTAGCACACACCCAGAAGGACCAGCAGCATTATCTATATTATTTATCATCAAATCTGTGTTGGGACAGGGACTAAATGGCAATCTCAGATCCATTATTAAAATGATTACACTATGTACAATCACACAGATTTAATCCTCAAGCTCTGGTTGACCCTGAGACCTTCCTGATGTACAGATAAAAAATTAAATTAAAAAAGTTACTTTACTAAATTCACTTGACCTAATGTGTAAATATTATTAGATATGTATTCCATGGTTATTATAGTTATCTCAAATCAACTAAATTTAAACTAAAATTAAAAAAATATATATAAACACATTTAAAACTAAAGACATATTTCTAAAACTTTAATTAAGTTTTACATTAAAATTACACTTCTGTGTTCATGTTTTATCACAAAGTAGAACTTTTGTTTATAGTCACTTAAATGTTAACTATGTTTTTTCAAGCCATTAAATTGACTGACAGAAAAAGTGAAAAATGACAGGAAAATTATATTTGATACTTTTCCGATAATATTATCCTTTAATTATTTTAAAAATATTGTTTGATGTCATCCCGCAGCAAACTGAAATTGAACTTGATCATCTTTTATTGTAGAATAAAAGTGCCAAAATGGGAAATGGTTCTATGAAGCTGAATCCTCTCAAGCAGGTCAGTGGCTCGGCCAAATCCAAAAACAATGGGGAAACAAGCTCAGTTCCTCAAGTTAGAGTGGAAGAGTTAGAGAGTCAACTGAAGAAGAAGGATGAAGACTTGAATGCCAAGGAGCTTCAGATCAAACATCTAGAGGAGCAGTTGGCTCAGCAGAGGCAGGCCATTTCAGAGATATCTGATGCTTTGAGGAACAAGTGTCTCCAACTCAACAAGCTCCAGGATGTACTGAAGAATCACGGGGAGTTGGGTCTCCTGCCATCACCTATCAAGGAAAAGGTCAGTCAGTGTCTCACAGGCCTGCTCAGAGATACCCTCAACAGGAGGAAAGGAGCAAAAGCTGGGGTTTCTGCAGAGCCTTCGTCCAGAACGTATGATTCCAGCGGTATACCAAAGTTCTACTTTGAGAGTGCACGGGTCTGGAAAGAGCAAAGGTGAGAGAAATTTATTTTCTGCTTTTAAGGCCAATTTCCTTCCAGAATTTGATTGAGATTAGTGGTTATGTTAGTATTTGGGACTATGGATATTTAAGAAATATGCTTATAAATTAACAGAGTAAACTTTTAGTCAAATTATTGCCAGTTACTTTATATTTTTGCACCTCCAGTGAAAAAAGTTCCAAGCGAAGTCAAAGTGGAATTTGTTTGGAATTTGCTGCGAGTAATCTCACGATTCACTCATAAATACGTCCCTTTTCGCCACCTACTGGTGTCATGATGATGCACCAACACTGACAGTTTGATTAACTATTACCTGTTATCATCAGAAGAAATACATGTGGTTTAAAGCTGTATGTTTGTAAGGTTATAGGTCGTGTTTAGTGTGTGCATACTGTATGTGCGTGGGTATGAACAAGAATGTTCATTATTGTATCAAGCATCCTCAAAGAACTAAAATAGATATGCCATTTGTTCATGTTGGTAATTAGTCTGTGTTTTTCATATGCTAAGCTCATTATGTTGGGAGGCTTAAGTTGGTCTAATCTGCCTGCAAAATATAATGCTGATATTCATTATCCTGTCTCTATTCTAACACTCAAAAAAGGAAACAACTGGTGCCTTTCAATAGCGAGAACTGTCCAATTAGTCCATCTTGAATAATTTGTTCTGAGTCAACCCATGAACAGTCCAAGGCCTGCTTAGATTAGGCCTTAGTTCATTAGGACATTTAAGTAGCTTTCATAAATGTGCTTTAGAAAAAAAAAGATACGTATTTAAGATACGTCAGCGCAAGTTGTTTTTAGTTAAAACAGCTCAAACATGCATTTTAGTCTAGGACTAGGCTTAAACCTTGTCTAAAATTGGAGGTATGAGTAACTGTGTTTTTTTTTTTTTTTACCAATATCTTTAACAGTGTAAAGAAGCTCCTCACCGATGCTTTGAATAAGAACCAGTATCTGAGGAGACTGGAAGTGCAACAGGTCAAAGACATGGTGGAATGCATGTATGAGCGGACGTACCAGCAAGGAGAATACGTCATAAAACAAGGAGAGCCGGGAAACCACTTGTTTGTGCTTGCAGGTATGAATCAAGTCATTTAATTCTTACATAATAATCTATTCACTGTAAATAATAATAAACCCACTTTTTGAATTAAATGCAAATTTGTTGCTAAAAAGAAACAATTTGTGTTTAAGTACCGTTTACTCTTACAGATGGCAAGCTGGATGTCTATCAGCACAACAAACTGCTCACATCAATAGCTGTCTGGACCACGTTTGGTGAATTAGCCATCTTGTACAATTGCACCAGGACTGCATCGGTCAAAGGTGAAGTGTTTATATTTGCGCTTTATTCCGTCTCTCACTTAGATGTGTTTGAACAATATAGTTCTGTGTATGACAAATACGTTATATAGGGTACTGTAACTTATTTCCTCCGAGTTCAAATTGTCCCTGCACGACAGCACTTCAGTGTGTTTAATTCATGCTGTGACCATGGATTGGCCTCATGTAGCCACAGGCTATCAAACAAACACCAGTGAGAACTAAAACACCATTGTTTTGTCTTGTAACGGTAATCTCATCTGCTTGTCAGTAATTTTGTTTGCTTGTTTGTGTGGCCAGATGTACCATCTCAAATGCCTTCCCTCATATTATCTTTTATTCCCACTCTTAAAAAAGCACTGGTGTGCAGTAAAACATGGTTACCCATAATGTTAAATCATAAATCACTGGGGTGCATTCTTTCAGTGGTTAATTTTTAATGTGATTTAATGTTTCATTCTTAATATTACAAAAAATATATGATCTGTTGGTAATTTGATACTTAAATATGTTCTCTACCAAGTCACCCTGATAAAATTGAATCACTTCCTAATGGTCCTATTGGAAGCAGCTGTTGTTTCCTGGTCACTGAGTCACTGAAGTTTAAATGGACACCACTAAATGGGACTTTAAATGGGAGGAACGAGGGAGCTTCTGGTATTTCCCTTACCTGTAGTTTTATTATGATCACAGCGGCCAGCAATGTGAAAACATGGGCCCTCGATCGAGAAGTCTTTCACAACATCATGCGGATGACTGCCGAGGCTCGACACGAGCAATACCGCCACTTCCTGAGGAGGTAATCCAAACTGTTCATCCCTCCCGCTGTTTACTGTGTTGTCCTACCACATATTATAGCTGGACCTGAAAACATCAAAGTGCGGCTGTTGCATGAAACGTTGTAGAGATCATACAAACAAATAAAGCATAGCTAGGATTTTTTTTTTTTTTTTTTTTGAAGGCATTAGCCATGCTATTGATGATGTTAATGTTAGTTCACGGTCTGGTTGAAGTGACCTCTGTGACCTTGCTTATATAACTATCAGTTGAAATGGCAAACATGAAAGGAGGAAAATGCTATAATTCAATTTGAGCGCTCTTAAATACGTTCTAATAAGAAAGGATTGTGAGATAGTATCTTATATTAGATGACTCTCCATAACCATCAGTTCCATCCGAGTCAAAGGGCCAATCTTAAATTGTTTGTATCAGTTTAGTCATATGAGAGTCATAGATAAAATGACTTTAAACCAATATGTTTTGAATAAGAAAATGAACATTGAATATTGATTAATAGCATAAAAGGGAAAAATGGCAAAAATATATATTTTAGAAAATGATGTTTTATTGCTTGTTTCCTACAAATGTCCTAACCTTTATTTTATTTATTTTTATTTTAGTGTTTCACTTCTTGCTAGTCTACCTGGGGACAAATTAACTAAGATCGTGGACTGCTTAGAGGTGGTAAGTAAAACCTTTTTTAACATTATTAAAATTTGGTGATTCAAAATGGCTAACCGGCCTCATCTGATCCAAAATATCTATCTGTAGTAAAGTTTTCAGATGTCTAAATCCAAACCGACAATTTTGGGCAAGCGGTGTTGATATTGCATCTTTCATCACTTGGCCCTGTATATTGTTACCATAGTTATTTGACTAAGGCTGCGTGAAGTGTTCGCTCCAATCGAGGGGACGAGTGATTTGTTAAAGATGTTTGAAGCAGCCAGTGTAGGCTGCTGAGTGATTTATTCCATTTCTCCATGAGGGGCCAAGTGAGTTTTTCTAGAAGAGTGTGGGCTTTGTCGACTCAACGTCAAATAAGCATCCTCATGTTCTTCCATGCTGAAAAAACTTCAAGGGCATTCTTCTCGATTGTCGGCCCCTGGGGTAGAATGGGAGAATGTCGTTATTCAATCACTCCGATGGAGTTAATTATATTCCCCTCTCTAGAGGTAAAGAAGCAATGTAACCCAATAGTGGCCCAGATGTTTTGGACTGAAACTTGCAGATAATGTGGAACTCTATCATTAAACAGTGGGGAATGGAATGCAGATGGGATGCTAGAAGAAGACACATGTTTCGAGACCCTCAGAGGAGTGTGGCATACCTAGAGAGCTTCTCTAATGACACAGCAGAGCTCTGTCAGGAAGACGGTTAGGGATGGAGATCAGTGGAGTACATGCACCAGAGAAATTAAAACTCAAAGAATGTCTTGGAATGCCTTCGATGGATGTTCTAGAATGGTTTAATGATTCAGTTTGGCAAAATTTAATCTCAAATTTCAGGTGAATCATTCCGTTCCACTGTAAATAGAACGTTGTTTTAGGAAATCACTGTTGCAAAAACATTCTTGTTCCATTGAGGAGGGATATCAGTTCAAGCACAGTGTTCTCAAGCTCTAGGGCAAGGCAACCAAAGTACTGTAACAACCCCAAACACACACACACACACACACAAATTTAAGTCTAGTAAACAGCTTATTCTGGAGTATAAAGCCACTTACAAAATGCTGTTTTGTTGTTGTTATTTATTATAAAAAGCTGAACTGTTTTAATGGTTAGTAAAGTGCTACCTTATGGTCAACTGTACAATTTAAAGGGATACTCCACTCCACCCAAAAAGAAAAAAATCAACAAAAATATTGTGTTTAGCAGAAGAAAGAAATTCATACAGGTTTGGAACAACTTGAGGGTGAGTAAATGATGACAGAATTTAAATTTTTGGGTGACCTAGCCTTTTAACTGCTTCTACTGAGAAAACACATTTTATGAAATTTGAGAAGTATGTAAGTAAGCAAAGTGTAGGAGACATATCTTCTTATATCATTGTGGAAGCAGACATGACAGCCTTCCTGTTGTCTCCCTCAGGGAACCTCTCCGGGAAAATGACAGCAGTGGGTTGATGGTAAAATCAATAGCTAAATGAGTTTTGTCTTGCGTTTGCTGAACAGGAGTATTATAATAAAGGAGACTACATCATCCGGGAGGGAGAAGAAGGAAACACTTTTTACATAATCGCCAATGGAAAGGTAATTTGCAATCTATTATCATCAATTTGTATTTAGCGTACTATGCTTAACACTGAATCATGTCTCATTCCACGAGGTTACATAATACTTAAAATTATTTACTACTATAATTTCAAATGTAAAAACGGATGTGCTTTTGCTGTATGATCATTATTGATTTCCTTTTTCAGGAACTTTTAGTAATTATAATATATAAGGCCTTCATCATGCCTAATTTTAGGTACATTACATAAACTAGCCAGGTCATGATATGTACTCACACCATTCAATGCTAAAGCTAAACCATCAAAAAATAAAAGTGATTTATCCCATTTGAGGAACTATTTTTTTCACTCCACTAATCATGGACTTCACTGCAGACACCGTTCTGGGTCTTTGGGAGGTCGAGCGCGTTTAGATAAATCAGTAATTCGACACCGAAGGGGTTAAGAGACAGGACTCTCCACTGGGAAGCTACAGGAACTGTTTAGCATGAGGTAGTCCGGCTCAGATCCCCTGTTCATTTCTGCTCTACTGTCGCTCAAGACGGGGGACGGGGGGAAGGAAGATGTTTTATTGAGGGGGAGAGAATTTAATTACCGGAAATGATGGTTCTCGTCAGCCTGTCGCCACCATGTCCGAGGCTGTTTTGGGAATAAGACCATTAGTGCTGGCCACCTAAAAACTGAAGGTCAAGAGGGTCATTGTGTTTAGTGGATCATTCTATAGAGAATTGAGAAAGATCGAACAAACTAACTACATTTCTTTAATCATTATTATCTAATACCTGTTGCCTACAGTTGAAGGATTTTAATCTGTGAATGTGGTTCACTCAAAAACGAATATGATTTGTTCTTTTTCAAATGCTACTTCTGTCTTTCTCTGTTGCTCAGATTAAAGTCACACAGTGCACACAGGATCATGAAGAGCCTCAGATCATCAACACCTTGGGGAAAGGGGATTATTTCGGAGAGAAGGCCCTCATCAGGTGCTGTCCTTCTTCAATCCCCAGCTCAATGTCCCCATTTAATCCTATTTCAATACCCATTTGGTATATGGGGACTTTTAGCATCACTGCAGTAGCAGAGAGCATCATCTTTGTCTCGTCAACATGTATATTGGTTAATAGAGTATTACAAACATATTCATTGCCACAACATGTTCAACTGTCATTTTTAGGAGCCATTTTTAGCTCAGTTTATGTCTAATGCACTTTGTGTTCCTACTTTGCCAAACTACAGTGATGATGTCAGATCTGCAAATATAATAGCAGATGAGGATGGGGTGGAATGCCTTGTCATTGATCGAGAGTGAGTTCACACTTGTAGATCATCGTCATTTAATTGATTTTGTTTCTTGTTGTTTGTGACAATAACAACGTTTTTCTCTTAGAACCTTCAGCCAAACTGTTGGAACTTTTGATGAGCTTAAGAAGTACCTCCAGAGCTATGTCGAGAATTTAGCACGAGACGATAAGAAAAGAAAGGCTAAGTAAGTTTTTTTTAATATATATATATATATATATATATATTTGTGCTGAAAAATAGCACTAATAACATTATTTTGTACTGCAGGCACACTTCTTCAAAAACAAAAAAGTGTTTTCACGTAAATGTAAAAACTAAAGGTTAAGATTTATCAACAATCCCCAATTGACAGAATTGAAGAACTGACCATAATTCCCAATATGCACATATTGTATATACATATTATGTAGTGTGACTGTGAATATAAGGATATCTCAACTGGTTCGAGATATTTGGAAAATGGCAGATTGTACTTTCTGGATTTAAGCATTTGAATCTCCAATCCACCTATTTATCTATACTGTATATACAGTGGGGTTCAAAAGTCGGAGACCACTCAAATAAATGCTTTACTTTTGTAATTTTATTACTTAAAATTATTTATTAGAAGAACAAGGGTCAGTGTCTCAAATTTGCTCATTTGTTTAGTGGACAAGAAAGAATTCCTAGAAATAATAGTATTTTTTTCCTTTTCGGCTGTTTAGTAACCAATCAAAAATTAGACAAATTTGCCACTCTGTATAATTGTCTTAAACAGAATGACCAAAATAATGACATTCACTTATCTCTGAAAATCCTTACTTTTTCTATTAGGAGGTCAGGAAGCTGCACCCCACCAACCACACCAGTGTCACATGATATGATAGAGCTGAAAGAGACAGAGAGCAGCTTTGCATCCACTATACCCTTCAGCTGCCTCGAGGTTATTGCCACGCTGGGAGTTGGGGGCTTTGGCAGAGTTGAATTGGTTAGAAGCTTGTTCACAATAATCACACTTCTTCTTTGAATCATTCCCACAAAGTGAGGGAGTGAAATGAGCAATAATGATGCCTTTTTTTTTTGCTCTAGGTGAAAGTGAAGCATGAGAATGTGACGTTTGCTCTGAAATGCATCAAGAAACGGCACATCGTGGATAACAGACAGGAAGAGCACATCTACTCAGAGAGGAGGATCTTGCTTGAAACAAACTCTCCTTTTATTGTAAAGTATGTTCATCTAGTATGATCAGACTGTTTTAGCAAAGCCTATTTAGTCTTGTGAGTTTTAGGAAATATCGAATCTTAAAGATAATCTGATCATTGAATTCCCCTGTTCATTGTTTTTGAAGAGATATTCATGATGAATTCCCTTAGTGTTCACATGATTAAATTAAGAGAGAAATTTCATACCTAAAATGCTTAATTTAACCAAACATAAAATAAGTCAGTGGCAGTGAAAGTTACTGCAAGCTGTGAATTTCAAAACTTATTTTTGATTTGATCTGTACATTTTTGCTCTTAGAATGTACTGCACTTTCAAAGACAACAAGTATGTATACATGCTGTTGGAGGCATGTCTGGGTGGAGAAATCTGGAGTCTTCTGAGAGACAGGTGAGCTACATTTCATGCTAGGGTGACCAAAAGCTGGACAGTCCCCGTCCTGCGTCCCACAAGACATAAGCAGTGTCCCACATTTCAATGTTTTTTTTCTTCCCTGAAATTTACTATACCACAAATAGTAATAGAAAACTAAATATGCGAAAAAAAAAAACAATTTGCACAACCATCATGTTCTAGCTAAAACGGGAAAATTACCAGCCATTGCACTCGTAAAGTGGGATTTTTCCTGATGAAACTGGACGGAGTCAAGGAATCTTGGCTATTTTAACGTTACTCAAAAATTGTCAGCTAGAAGTAAACTAGGCGCTACTTAAGACAATTTTATTTTTATACAAAATGTGATTTTTACCTATTAGCCTTTTAATCAGTTACTTTTACTCATTATATGTAGCAGACTAAATAAGTTCTGTAATGTAAATTACTTTGCATCACTCGAACCAGGGCAAATTGAGTGCCAGTCACAGACCCGCTCAAAGCTTATTGGCAATTTAACGTTATTATTCAACGCGTTGTCACATAGGCTTTCCAACTAATTTAAATCATTATTTACATAGTAAATGTATCTCTCTCACACGTGTCCAGCATAATCACGTCTACCTATTTCATGCATCTAGAACAGCTACAGTTTTACCCGTTTGATAATATGCTAAAAGTTTCTGTTTTGATCCAGGGGGAGTTTTGATGAGTACACTACCAAGTTCTGTGTGGGCTGTGTAACAGAGGCCTTTGACTACCTACACAACAATGGCATCATATACAGAGACCTGAAGCCTGAGAATCTGATGCTGGACGCAGATGGTTACGTCAAATTGGTGAGCAGAAGTCAGCCAACTTCACTTCACAACTTCAGTGCAGCGATACTGACTCCAAGCATGTTTGCTTAGGTGGATTTTGGCTTTGCTAAGAAGCTCAAGTGTGGCCAGAAGACCTGGACGTTCTGTGGGACTCCAGAGTATGTTGCACCTGAGATCATTCTCAATAAAGGTCACGGTCTCAGTGTGGACTTCTGGTCTCTTGGAATCCTGATCTTTGAACTTCTTACAGGAAGGTTTGCATCAGCTCAAGTTTTAGTGGAAAACATTTAATAATACAAATGCATGAAAGACCTACTCTAATGTGTTTGATCGGATTCTGTTCCTTCAGCCCCCCCTTTACTGGCTCAGATCAGATGATTATTTACACATTCATTCTGAAAGGAATTGAGAAGATGGACTTCCCTAAAAAGATCACCAAGAGGCCTGGTGACCTTATCCGAAAGCTGTGCAGGTACGATCATGCATCCTTCTTAACTTATTCTTATCTTTTTTTTACCTGTTTTCTGAAACTATTTAGCCTCTGCAATATATCTTAAAATGATTTTCCTGTTCTCTTTTTTTATGAAGACAAAACCCTTCAGAACGACTGGGCAATCTAAAGAATGGAATAACTGATATTAAAAAACACAGGTAAGTGTACAACAGTCAAAATCTGCTGCTGTTTGACAAAAAATATCCCCAATTTCATAAATTTGACTGTCTTATGCTATATGTATTAACACCAAAAATGAATGGTCAGTTGATGGATTTTTTCGGTTCCTTGCCGCTGTTGCCTTTGGCTTGCTCAGTTGGAGATATTCCAATTAATTAACCAATCATTAATTTACCGTTGATCAGCTCTACCAAACATGGATGTTTTTCCTCTAAGAAACTAACATTGTTATTGTGTTTTGATTGATAGTGTGAAGCTGCTTTGATGCAATCTATATTGTGAAAAGCGCTATATAAATATAATTGACTTCACTTGACCAAATTCAGAAAATATTTAACTGTAGTATCTCATATGTTTTCACAAAATATTGGTCCGAACCCTCAGACGTTGTACACTCAAAGACATTCACTTAAGTAGTTGCTTAGTTAGTTACCCACATAATATACTGAATTATGGATATAGTGTGGTTGCAGATATTACTACAGATATTTTACTTGTTTTTGTCTTTCATTTTCAGATTTCTCATGTTTGAAAAAACACACTTATGCTTGGTTTTTCATAGTGGTGCAGACTAAATTAGATAACCCAAGATCTCTGGAATTTGTTCCATCAATAAAACATGTCACTCTTGATCAAATCGACCAGTAAATCTGAGGAGATTCTAATCTTGACCTTTATGGCTTTTTCTGGGCCTGCTCTTATACAGGCCTGAACTTACACAGCCTTCGGACTAAATTGAGGCTTGGCTCTTTTTACTTTGCCCCTAAACAGGTTTCTGTCATGTTAGCAAACGTTACATTTGCAATCAGTGGACATCCATAAACACTAACTTTGAAATTGGCATCATTGTTACCAACATACATTTTACAATAAATACATTTTATTAAATTCATGATGTTGTGTGTTGGTGTCTAGATGGTTTACAGGATTTAGCTGGAGTGGTATGAAATCCAGATGTCTGATATCACCACTTAAAAGAGAGGTAAGACAAACATCATCTAGAGATTTTTATGGGATCATATATCATAAAATGACATGAACACTACCATTCAAAAGTTTGGGATCAGAGTTCAACATGTTCACCAACTCCTTTCTATGTATTATTCCATATAATTTATTCCTGTGCTGGTTAATCTGTATATTCAGCATCATTAATTCGGTCTTCAGTGTCACATGATCCTTCAAAAATTAGTCTAATATGAAGATTTGATGCTCGAGCAAAATTTCTTATTATTATCAATGTTGAAAACATTGTGCTGCTTAATATTTTTGTGGAAACATGATTTTTTTTCAAATATTTTTATTTTATTTGATCTGTCTCTTTCTTCTTCTCCAGGTGAAGGGACCCACTGACCACAGTTACTTTGACAGTTATCCTCCTGAAGAAGAAATCCCTCCAGATGAAATGTCAGGTTGGGACACCGACTTCTAACTGACCCCTCGATGCACCCATGTGCTCAAACATTGTGAGTCAAACAAAACTCTTCTGCCGTTTTGTCATCTCCAAAATGCCAGCCTTTTCCCAAAGGAACCTTAGACCATGAAGCCGACAGAACCCGTGTACTGTATGTGTTGCAACAATGGACTCCTTGACCGAAGGCTGCTGTTAGTGCAGTGGGAGGCACAGCAGAGGAGGAGAGACATAAGAAAGGGATTGTTTCAGAAACGATGTTCAGATTTACTCATTCATTGCGATTATAAACTTTGTTGAATTGACTGAAACTCTGAGATGTCAGAGCAGGATCAGTCTGTGAGAATGATGTAGCTGGGGCATCTTAGAGGAGGATGGTGTGAAACCATTGGTAATATTTACCTTTAGACATGTGGAACGGTTTGTGGTTTGGCAGGAGGGTGAGATGTTCCCTGTTTTAGAAGCGTTGGTGATGTCACGTATTTGAGCTCCTGGAGGTAATAACCACCTGTGACTGTGAATGCCACTGATGAGGTTTGAAAGGTTAACCTCAGCGGGCGACTGGCACTGCCGTTTGTGCAAGTCCAGCAGAGTTGTGTGAAAAGTAATATTTTTAGCATACTTCAGGTGACTCGAACCTCTGCATCTGAGCCAGATATGTTTGTGCTGATGTAATGTTTGCCCCTTGCGTATTTTATCCTTGTGAATAGGAAAAATGTATTTCTTTTTTTGTGAGAATTTAGATTTTTTTTAGTTACCCTGCAAGATTATACAAAGATATTGTACATTAATTGTATATTAAAATGTTATCTAAAATGTAAAAAAATGAGCATTTCTTTATTTTTAAGTTCAGCAGTTATTGCACATTAGTATCTATTAAATAACGAACTTTGACATTTGTGTGGTAACTTTCCAGACCGCATTGACCCATTAAGAAATTTACATCATGGATGTTCCATGATGCAACAATCTCAATATAATTTTTGATTGCATAACAATGCAATCAATATTCAGTAAAGCTCTGCTTTGTCGCCAGAGGGCTGAGTCCTTTAACACATGATAGATAAATAAACACATGGCTACAGAATTCTTAAAACTTTATTTGTTTTCCTCGAACCGTCTGCCGAAAGGGATTCTTTCAACTTGGGAGATGTTACAAAAATAGCACTCTCGCTCATTTGACATGAGTCATGTGATTGCTTCCTTTTGCACCCCGTCTAACCTTTGTGCAGCAAAGCTCAATGAATATTTAATGAACCCCTCTGTGCTTCACAAAATTAAGATACAGAAGGCATCATACCGACAATAAATAAATGCTTTTAAAGGTCATTTCCATATACAAATATAATTTCTTATGAAGCTTATCATACAAAGCACATCCTTTCACCTACAGCATAACATTTACAAAACACACAGTGTGGCGGAAGCCTTCCAAAAAATATATTACAAAAATGCTAAAGGAGTGCTTTAAATAGTGTGTTTTGACGTATGTATCATATATTAAGATAATAGCCCACTTTTACATTTGTGTTCATTTCTCTGTTGTCAAAAAAATCCCACACCCCATTTATGAACATGCAGCTTGTGATATGTCTTTGCTTTAGTTTTTATGCTAAAAACAGTACAATTTGTATACAGAACAAAATATCACATTTTATCCAAATAAACTGATAGACTTAAAATATTCTGCCAAAATAAGACATTACATGTTACACTCATCTTTGTAAAATATAAATTTTCTTGTAGAATATACGTTGTATTTAATGTTTGATTAACCTAAGGCACTTTATATAGGCATTGTTGTGTTAAAGAGACAAAGGCTAAATAATCGACATAAAATTTTCGTAATCACCTTCCTGAATATATTGTTTTAAAAATTGCTCATAAAATAACATCTGGTTTCTTGACACTAGCAGTTTTCAGGGGAATGACAGAAAAATGAATGCGTGCATATACATTTTGAATTCAGCTAAATGTGAGGATGCAACCTTGTATTAATCGGTCAGACGGAAACATCATATTTACAAAAGCAAGTATCAAAAAAAAAAAAAGACAGATAAAAGAAAATGCGACGTAACACTGTTACATTTAGGCTTGTAACAATGAACCTTTTTGGAGGAAAACATGATATATATTTGATGCAGATTGAAGACATTCAAAACAGTCACTCAGAAATAAAACACTGTTTCAAGCTTAATGCGGAAAACTGAATATGAACAGTAAGTAACTTATATAGGTAATCATTTAATTAAAAAAAGACAAATGTAACAAAAAAAAAGATATCTTTACTTTTCATTTTCCCTAGAAGTCCACTTTATAGCAGCCATAGAATATGAACATTTAGAGTCAATCAATGCCTCTGTAGCAAAAATATAGCTATAATAATGACAGATTACACAAACTGTACAGAAACATGATGAATGACAGCAAATGTTTGTCCCCTGTAAGCTTAACTGCTGAGGTTATAGAAACATGAGAACATCCTGGTCAAACACAGACAGAGGATCTCTTCATATGTTCGTATCTCAACTGATGCACGAAGCCTCCTGCTAACAGGAAGGAATTCCTTCTGGAAAATCACTTTGCTCTTCACAATCCTTAAATCTGTAGATAGTTCTTCAAGGCTTATGAAATGAGCATCTTCAGTTTTTCTTCCAGTGCAAAAATTGGGAATCAGTTTAGGGGAGGGAGGCTGGTGGAAAAGACCAAGGCATATTTACCGACAGGCACAGGAGTCCACTGTCATATTGGGATATACCTTGAGGACGACGTTCTTGTCTTCATCAAAGAAGAGGATGCTGAGGGAAGACATCTTCTCCGGAACACAGCAGGGCTCTGGGATGCCTGGGACCACCCCGACCGCCCGAACGATGCTCTGAATGGTCGCATGGTTTGAAGGTTTCAAAGACTGTAAGAGGTAAAAAGCTCAAGAGGTCAGAACCCATTACAGGGTTTAGTACAGCTACAATTTGTTTCGCGATAAACTAGTGAAAGCACTAAAGGATGTACAAATAGGTCAAAGGTTTCACAGACAAGGTTTAGACTAGTCCCAGACTAAAATGCTGTTTTAACTGAAAATAACTTGCGCTGACGTATCTTAGTTTTAAGATGCACACCAGTACTGTAAAGTTATGTTTATAAAAGCTACTTACATGTCCTAATTGAACTAAGGCCTAATCCTGGCTTAATCTAAGCCCTGTCTGTGAAACTGGGCCATTATGGTTGGTCTCATGCTAATCCGTCTGCATTCCAATGTCTGTGAAAGGGAAATTACTGGTGCTCTCACTTTTCACAATCATTCGAAAAGCAAAGAAAAGCCTGACATGGGACGGCTATTTGCTGTAGTAGAGATGCACAGAGTTTCTGTTGTTAACTAAAACTGAAACTATTAAAAATTTATTCGCTAATAGAAAAAAGCTGAGTTCGAATATTTGATAAAAAAAACTTAAACCTACATAATTAAACAAAATCTAATAAAAATGCCATAAGCACGCTACAAATCAACTACAACCTAAATGATGAAACTTGCAAATATGAATAAAAGCTAATTCAAAATATTAATAAATACTATAATAGTATATAAACAATAGTCAATGAACACTGGCGATGTACCAATATTAACATTCTGGCCTGAGATGTTAAAATGCTAAAGTATCTGAATAAATTAAGAATAAAACACTAACAACTAAACTGAATCATTTTAAATGCTACAAGTGAATTTAGGAATCACAACACTATAACACACAGTATGAAAATGGATATTAATTTAGCAAAAGATCACATTAAACAGTCTTATTAAATGATTTATGTTTTTAAAGATCAACTTTAAATGATATATCTTTACAAATATTCCACCGATAAATTGCTTAACTGCTCTGGAAGGAATTTAGCCACATACATTTTAGAATATGAAACAATTGGGTCTTGGTTTTCTATCATCAGCTTTACTACAGAAACATAAAACTGAAGTGAATTAGACTTTGTTTCTTAAACATAATAATATCACCTTGGTGGCAACAGGCAGCTTGAATGATATAATAATGGAAGATGAATGAACCTCTGTGCTGCCTATGATAATTTACAGCTTTTTCTTCCACTAGGTGGTGCTTATATTTCACTTCTCTACATGCATGTATCAGTCAGTCCCTTTTCCCACTGCTCTGGTTATTTGCTCCTGGGGTTGATTGTATCACAACAGATCAGAGTGCACAACCTTTAGGAACTCATCTTGACTTTTTGCTCAATAACAATAATAAAAAGTAAAGCTTACTGGTTTCAACAAAGAAGTGTGGAATTTGAGATTTTTATAATCATACATGAATACATACCTTTGGCATGGGGAACTGACATGACCCCGAGCAGTAGTACGCATCAAAAGACTTGGGGGAGATAATCCACTCGCTCCAGCCGATATCTGCAAAATCAACCTTTAAATATCTGCGAGCACAATTCCTCGGCTCGTTCCATTGCTTCTTACGAGCTTTCTTAATGGTCTGCTCATCAAACTGCAGGAGAGGGTTCTTGTGCCGTGGGTTCTTGCGTGGCTTCTTGCGAGGGCGCTTGACTGGTTTGCTCTCCATTGGATCGTAAGGGCTGGTCTCATCCCATGTAGGTATCTCATAAGGGTACTCGGGGCCTGGAAGCTCATTGTTCTGTAGCGGCAGCAGGACGTTGGTGGACCGTCTGGTCCGATTTTGCGAGGAGGCACTGCGATTATGTATTTCAAGCAGATGAAGGTTAGGCACCAGTCGGCTTCTGTGTCTCTGCAAGGTGGACACGACGCTCTCGGGTTCGGAGATAGCCGAGTCATTGGCGTAGACCAGAATGTAAGGAGACCTATCTGACAAGAGTTTCTTCCAAGGTTGGCGTCCTTTTGAGTCAATGTCAATGCCTATGAGAAGCTGGTCGTGATGCTTGGCTTGGTTGACAACACGAGTAATGTCTTTCCACTGCCATGATATGAAGTCCCGGTACACTGTGGAGATGTTAATGGAAAAATGGCCGATTGTTCTGGTGGTGTTATCCACAAAGCTGAAACTCCAGACATCAAGGTGAATATGACCTTGTCTTCTGAGATTATTATGGTGAGCACAGCTCTTGTGCCTTGGGCATCTGTGGCTGACGTTTTGCAGGTCACCAATGTAGTAGTGCAGCGTTGCTGAAAGAACATCCTCAGACTTGGTGAGGGAAGTGAGGTTGAAGATTTGTAACTGCTTATCATTGATGGTCCCTAACAGGAAAAAAAAAACACACACACATTCAAAAAAAGCATGGCCTTATCATCACTCTTTAACCAAAACATAGCTCAGAAGGCAAAAGACAAGCAAATGACTCTAGAGGGCGGTATTATTCACTCATTATAAGTAACTCAGTAATAAGCATAAGTAACGTTTCTTCAGTCGTTTATAAATGCAGGTTGCACTTTTAGGGTGATTTTGTTCCAACTACTTACAAACAACCACTAAAAGCCAAGTTGCACGAAACAATGTCATTATTAATCGCTGCAGTCCCGTGTTTCTGCTCTTTTCCAGAGTCTTCATCAAATTAGTGATGCGTAAATGTGCACGAAAGAGATGTATTATTATTTAGATAACTACCGGTAGTTTATTTTAGCGAAGTTATAACGTTTGAAAACACTAAAGTGTGATTAGATTGTATTAAACGATGCTGGTGTTTCAGAAAAGAAAAAAAAATTCAGTTAAATACATCAGTTTGAAATCGTTTAATTCACTTAAAAAGCCTAGGCGAACGTTCGCTTGCTTTGCATTGCAATTAAGGAGCAACACGGTGTAAAAGTACACTGAATGACACGTAAAAGTCTGAACAATATAATGATTTATGAAACGCCACAGGACGAGCTTTACTTCACCTCGGTCTGCTGTCTCTCAAATCTAAATCAACAGGTGTAATAGAAACAACTGCAAAACAAGCTGTCTTAAAGAGACCGTTCACTCTAAAAAACTTAACAGAAGTTGGAGGCTGGCAGCCTCAGTCAGCGTTACTATAGGCTATGGAAAAAGATGCACTTAAAATTAATTTAAACATCTAATGTGAGGACTGCACGTTTATATATAGCCTAGAATGGGTAAGTTAAATGAAGAGAGTTCATATTTGGCTGAACCATATGTTTTTAGGATGCGATGATGCGCAAAACTGATGAACACACCAACACTTAAACTCACGAAAGAGGAGTGAAGCGATATTAACGAGTACATTGCGACATTTCGTCAGCTAGCCTAGTACGAATAGATTGAACACCTACCCAAATGTCCTTTGAAGCCACGGACAGTGTTGCCATCTTTGAGAGGGAATCCCGCGCTGGTGTATTTGGCGTAGAGCATCTGCATGTGTTGTGACAGCGTGTCCTGCTCGCCTTTCTTCACATGTTGCTTAGTTTGCGCTTCCACTTTTTGTTCAAACTGCACGTCTTTCGAAAAACTCATAAGCGGCGTTTGAAGCACAGCACAGTATCCACAGCACAGATAACCCCATCCCAACAGGAGGATAAATAGTGGTTGACAGCGATCCATGCTGGATGTACGAGACTGTTGAAGCTGATTTAGGTGTAGTATATCAGTGCTGAACTCTTGTCTCTTGAGAGGGAGAGCATCACATGGACCACACAAATAAGGCAAAGAGAGCGAAAAACATTACTTGGAAATTTAAACAAGATGTTAATTTGGTGTGCTCAAAAAGAATAGTCCAAATGCACGTTTCCAAAGATATCACAGTCCTTGTGCAAAATGTACGAGGATGTCCGTGTGAGTTTGATCTGCTGTTGTCCTGATGGCCAGGCTTGATTCTCGGTTTTGTGTCTGAGCGATGCTGTTCTCAGCCAATCGCGCCTCTTCCCTGCGTTCATTGAAGGTAAAGCTGGTCGCGCTGGTAATATATAGGGATTATGGGAGCAGTCGGACAGTGTTGGGAAGTCCAAATGATTTCCGCGAATCATTTTTCGAACGGTTCGTTTAAAAGAACCGATTCAATACACAGATTATTCTTTTCTTTACGTCACCACGTTTTCCCTAACATTTTGGCGAGGCATTCATAGCCTATTGTTGGCCAAACTTTTTAAAATTGTTTTGTAAGCACTGCTCCATTTGTTGAAGCATTGATCCAGCTTAGAAAAACTAATTAATTTAGAAACTAAAAATTTGCATTTACACTAACCAATAGAAACCAAAGTTCATTCACATGATGTTATTAATACGCATTTGAAACAAGTCCTGTTTCAAATGCGTATCAAAAACACTTACGCTACAAAGCTTGCTTATTCATAATTGTATCCAGAATATTTAAATTTTTGCCATTGTAGTTAGCCTAATGAAGTAGTCTAGCCTAGACTTTCCGCACCAGTGGTCAAATCAATACGTCTGCTTCCTCGGGCGGTTCTTGATTCACTGATTCAGTTGTTAACCCGTATTTTTGCGAGTCAGACTTTTCCAAAAGATTCACTTCGACCGACTCGGTTAGAATCTTCATTCAGTCTGACTCAAGAACGAATAGTTTAGACCAGTTTTGTGAACTTTGTCAACTGATTTATTGTTATTGTTGATACAGTCGGATATTATTCTTCACAAAGAGAATAAAACGTGTGTTTCCAATTTGAGAGAGACAGATCTCTAGTCCCTAAAAAATACAACACGTGAAAAATGCATTCTTTAAATTATAGTCTCGAATGCACGTTCAGGGCATCAAAACAAACCATATGTAGGCTACTTTTACGTCTTCATCGTACACTTCACACCCCCAGCTGTCTCTGAGCGACTGGGTGAGTCATGTGGATCTGTGTTGTAGCCTAATGCTCGATAGTGAGGTCCGTGAAACGTCTCTCAGCAAAGCTGTGTGTCTGGGTTGACACGCTGAATGACATGGCTTATGGGGAGCATTAAAGGCTCTCTGTCCCATTTAGTTGAGCTCAATGGCGATGAGCAGACACATCCTGCACAGCAGAGTCTGATCCGGATGCTGCACCGCGTCCCCTGCGCACACCATACCCGCGAGCACGGCTTCAATGTCCTCTGTCACGGTCTCTCTTTCAGGATCATTGAGGAGGAAGTGATTGACTCCCACCCCAGACATCTGATGCCAGTGGACTTATTTTCAAGATATGATTTTGTCAGATCTGCCCGAGGTATAATTGCTGTTTAGTGAGAAAATATGTGGTCTGCTGTCAATAACCTATATTTATCATGTTTTATAATGTCCCACTAAACTAGTCCACTTTAGGATAAGAACCCAGATTTTCACAAGCACATCTGCTATGTTGATTTGTAGGTGTATGAATGAGCTGTGCGTTGTGAGGGATTGAAGTGGGCAGTTTCATCACACTGCCACTCCACCACATGAATAAGGACTGTGGCCTGTTAAGTTAAACAGTTATGAATGTGGGTGAATCACCACCCACTTCTTGAGCCCTCATCCTGGTGATTAAACAGAATATATATGTATATATAAATATATATATATAAATTCTAGCATGGGTTAGGTTTTGTTTAACTTTGTAGTGTGACATTCCTATTTGTTAATTGGCATTTTCTGATGTGTGGTGAGCCACCACACTAGCAATATCTTGTCTTGTCTCTTTTTTGTAAATTCTCAAAGACAGAATCGTTATCTAATGCCGGAACTCTCTGCAGTATCTTAGGATCTGAAATCTTGTGGAATGGGTGTCCTTGTCTATTTCATGGAGTGTTTGGCAGCTTTTAGTCAAAAGCAGTCGAGGGGACATGAGAGAACCCCCATGTTTCTAAAGGGCTTTATCTTTGATTTGTTCAGACAAACAGAGGAGTTGTTTTAGATAAGAATACAATACAAAGCTCAGGTTCCCAAGTAAGAGACTGCAGCATCAGACATTCTCTGAAAGCTATGAGGCATAAGTGCCTCAAACATGTGATTGCAGACAATAATGTGGTTAATAGAAATAACTATAACGACAACAAATGTCTTTAAATAACTTTAAATATTTAATATAATGAACAAGTCAGTTTATCAAGATAGCAAAGATTATTATTATTAAAAAAATAAAAAATAATATGGGATCAAAAGATCAAAACACACAGCTACTGAACACATACAGATGCTGTGCATAATATGAAGTCATAAAATATATAATACTTACAGATTATTTTTTGAAATTTTTATAATACATTTAATTGGAGAGTGGTGCACAGGAACTGGTCACAAGTTTTCTGATGACGTGGTCAAAAATTACAACATGCTCATATAGGTCAGATCGGACAGGAGTTCGGGTGAAGCCGTCACCAGGTATTGCCTGTTGGGTTGAAGAAATAGTAATTAGGATTAAACTGATTATTTTTAAGATATAGAAATTTGAAAAATTTTAATTATTGAAGAATTCTTGCTACATCAGTTCAAATCTAATTCAGTAGAAGACCACAACTGGATCTTCTAATAAGTTTAAATGGTGGCCAAACTTAGAAGAATAAATCTCACAAGTTATATTCGAGAAAACATTATTTACTGCTCGATTAAGTTTTTTCACATTGATCTTTAACAGACATGTTACCAATTTAATTCAATATTATTCAATTAATATATACAGTATATACATTTTCAAAAGAACCCACAACATAGAATTTCAATATTAAATGCCATCTGAATGCCTATTTATATTACTGAAGTAGAGACAAACATATATCTTGCAGTATAAGTGTGATTTGATGTTTAAACATGAGTCTGGGTGTGACTTTAATATATGGACTCCATAGGGTGCCTCCACCAAGAATAAATATGATTTTAACCCAGCTGGGATCCATTATTAAAGAGTAGGCTAACTGTTTTAGAAGATTTAGATTTACATTCATTCTATGTATTTACTGTTCATCAAACTTGCTAACATACCAATTTTGTTTAGAGCTAAGATAAATGCAGACATATTAAAAGCAAACGAAAAGCATTAGCTGTTTAAAGGATTGGTTATCAAACTACACCACCAACAGCTTTTTTGGAGGGATAACAATTTCCATCAAAAGCAAACAAAGCCCAAAAATGAAGAATTTGGGTTTAGAATTTTGAAATGACACCGGCTATATCTATCAAGGGCAATGAAACAAACAAACAAACAAATCAAATCTAGGCTTTAAAATGCCAGTTTGTATGAAGGAATGCATCCACATGGGCAATGAGGTCATGCCTGGTGGGGGCCTGAGGTTGGATTCTGGGTGCACAGGCGGTTTCAGTGTCTGGGTTCCTTAGCCTCCCCTCGTTTTTAATAGCCGGCCTGGTCGGGGTGTGCTCGACCACAGGCAATACTCGCCTCTGCCATCTCGCCCTCAACGAGGCAGCCTGGGCGAGTTTGTGTTCAAAGAGGTCGGTCTGCAGCGTTGCCTCTTTTCTAAAATAGCATGCACTCATAGCTCCTGGGCACAAAGGCAAAAAAAAAAAATTGTGGCACAGGTTCCAGGACTGAATTTCGCGGTTCGTTCTAACCCACTCTGACGGATATTTCGAGAGATTGGACCAAAAATGCTACCCAGGTGCAACAATACAATCTCTCCGCTTCACAAGGAGGCTATTTGATATCACGAAAGAACGGTTTCACAAAATTTTGAACATGGGATGACTCTTGATCATTGCTTTTTTTATGTGTGCAAGATCATAAAATTGTCATCTAATAGTAGTACAGACACAAGTCAATGTTCCTGTTTAAATCTTAAGTCTTCAGTCTCGAGTTATTCATTGAACCAGTACTCAATTTAACTTAGTTATTTACTCATGGATGTTAAATGAGAGCTAAAACGTGACTGAGAGAGGTCAGTGCTCTCTGTTCATATCAAACATGCTCACCTCTGGGTCAACATTCAAGATTTTCATGTTGTTCCTGCACTGGAAGAGCAGTCCGCTTGGATTCTCTGTGATTACCTCATAGTTTGAGCTGGCATTACATTTGGCCACCTGTGTTCTCCAGTTGTAGAAGCTGAAAAAAGTTAGGGTTAATATGTTTAGAATAGTTTCTGGATATTAAAATGCAAGACTTAAAAGTTTTGACAGAAAAACACTGCAGTATAGATGAAATGCTTTGCTGAATATATAGTGAAAAATATAAACTATAAAGTATTAAAAGTTCACCTGACAAAATGTCAGGATGTGTCTTGTGTGCTATTCCAGTTTGATAAAACATGCACTTAGAATGCCAGGTGTTAAGTTGTATATAAGGAATTATAAGAACAATCATGCTCTTGACATTTAGAATTATATTAATAGTGGCCTTACATACCTCTTTGCATGTAATTCAGAAGATCTTTTTACACGTTTCTAAAAAAAATGTCAAATGACTGAAAGCAAACTATGGATCCGGAACAAAAAAATGGAAATAATACACTATTAGTTTTCTATATGCCTTCTAAGTCTAACTCAATTGGCAAAGTTTAACTGACAGCTATTAAATGAGTCAAGCACAAATCGCAAGACAAGGACTTTATGGTGTAGGGAACTGTCAGAAAAGCAGGTTTATGCATGTAAACAATTATAATATATATACAGTATATATATATATATATATATATATATATATATATATATATATATATATATACACACACAGTATATATATTACAGTTTTGTCAGTTTCTTTGCATAGGCAAATATACACTATAAGTACAGTCTGTAAAATAGGGCACATGTACTGTGTTAATTTGAAGGATTTTTTTAATTTTCCAAATAGATTTTTCACAGGTGTTTTACTCATATTTTGAATTAGGCTACACATCACATTGCTTTCTAGGGCTAAAGCAAATGTCCGTAAACTTAACAGAAAATATCTTGAAAGTCTTAACCCTCTGAGACCTAAGGGTATTTTTACAATAAATTTTCCGTCTGGTGTCATTTACTAAAAAAGCTTGTAAAATATCAACCCTTTGGTGCACAGACAATTGACACACCTCTTTTTTTTCAGGACAAATTGAACTTTTAGCATATTTGTGTTACATTGATGTCACCTGAATGTAAAATAAGTTATGGGACCATAAAGACAAATGAAAAAATAAATCGGAAATGGAATCACTCAAATATTTATTGAAATCACACACAAATAAATAAAAGCTAAGCAATTTTCCTCTGGAAAATAGTTTGTTCATGTCTTTGGAGTCCTGGAGCACAGGAATAAACATTATAACTTGTACAGAACAAAAACTATTAACATTTTTCCAAAAGAAGTCCAGGCGTTTGGGGCCTCATGAAAT